TTTGAAAGTTTCGGTTCGATTGGAAAAATAAAGAGAAAATAAATGTTGAAATAAAACTTACATTTTCGTATAACCTAAAAGTGTCAAAAAAGATGCTAATTTAAAAATTCTACAGTTTAAAATGAGTGTTTAAAACTACCGGTACTTTAAAGTACCGTCGGGACACAAAGGGTTAAAAACGAAAAAAAAAAATAATTTTTTAGTTACAAAAAAAATTCCCCCAAAAACTTAACCTCAAAAAATTTTTTTTAATCAATCCGATAAACTTAAAAGTAATGTTATTATCACTAAACTAGGTGAGATTACAACGTATAAAGTCAAACCGTAAGAAAATTGTATATTAAAATCGTCCTGTGATGCAAAATAATCAAATTTGACAGTTAAAATGTCATCAATTGACATCAAAAATTGAGGTAGGATGTCAAAATCTAAGAAAATTATAAATTTAATCTTTAAATTGCTACTCAAATGTCACTTTTGACATTAAAATCTTCGTGCGATACAAAACGATCAAATTTGATACTTTTAGGCTGTCATTTAGACGTCACTATTGATATCAAAAGTTTCACGTTAAGAAAAATTACCAAATTTAACGGATAAAATGACATTTAACGATTTAACTTGACGTGTAGCTGTCATTTAAGATGTCTTTTGTATTTTGACATTAAAATCCTCGTATGATTCTAATTAATCATTTTTGACAGTTACAATATCAATTGGTGTCTAAAAATGAGGTATAGATGTCAAACTTTAAGAAAATTATGAATTTAATCTAGTATAAGATGTCATTCAAATGTCACTTTTGACATTAATATTTTCTTGTGAAGCAAAATAATAAAATTTGTCAATTAGAATGTCAAACTGTTAGAAAATTCTAAATTTAGTCTTTAAGATGTCATTTAAATGTCATTTTTGACATTAAAATCTTTTTGTGATGCAAAATAATCAAATTTGACAGTTAGAATGTCAATTGGTTGCAGAAAAGAAGGAGTAGATGTCATTTAGAATGTCAAACTGTAACAAAATTGTAAATTTAATCTTTAAGATGTCATTTAAACGTCACTTTTAACATTAAAATTTTCGTATGATGCAAAATAATCAAATTTGACAGTTAAAATGTCAATTGATATCAAAAAATGAGGTAGGATGTCAAAATCTAAAAAAAAATTGTAAATTTAATCTTTACATTGCTACTCAAATGTCACTTTTGACATTAAAATCTTCGTGCGATACAAAACGATCAAATTTGATACTTTTAGGCTGTCATTTATACGTCACTATTGATATCAAAAGTTTCACATTAAGAAAAATTACCAAATTTAACGGATAAAATGACATTTAACGATTTAACTAGACGTGTAGCTGTCATTTAAGATGTCAAATTGTAAATTTAATCAATAAGATGTCACTTTTGGCATTAAAATCCTCGTATGATTCTAATTAATCATTTTTGACAGTTACAATATCAATTGGTGTCTAAAAATGAGGTATAGATGTCAAACTTTAAGAAAATTATGAATTTAATCTAGTATAAGATGTCATTCAAATGTCACTTTTGACATTAATATTTTNAATCCTCGTATGATTCTAATTAATCATTTTTGACAGTTACAATATCAATTGGTGTCTAAAAATGAGGTATAGATGTCAAACTTTAAGAAAATTATAAATTTAATCTATAAGATGTCATTCAAATGTCACTTTTGACATTAATATCTTCTTGTGATGCAAAATGATAAAATTTGACAGTTAGAATGTCAATTCGTTGCAAAAATTGAGGTTGACATATATCATTTGGAATGTCAAACTGTAAGAAAATTATAAATTTAATCTTTAAGAAATCATTTAAATGTCATTTTTGACATTAATATCTTTTGTATGATGAAAAATGATGAAATTTGACAGTTAGAATGTCACTTGGTAGCTGAAAATAAGGTAAATATGTCATTTAGAATGTCAAATTGTCAATTTTGTCTTTAAGCTATCATTTAGATGTCACTTTTGATGTTAAAATTTTCGTGTGATGCCAAATAATCAAATTTGACAGTTAGAACGTCAATTCGTAGCAAAAATTGAGGTTCACATGTTAATTAGAATGTCGAACAAATTCTAAATTTAGTCTTTAAGATATCATTTAAATGTCATTTTTGACATTAATATCTTTTTGTGATGAAAAATGATCAAATTTGATAGTTAGAATGTCAATTGGTAACAGAAAACTTAAAAGCAAAGTTATTTTCACCAAAAAGTTGTTTTTTGAAAGAAGTGCATCATGTTTCTGGCAATCTTTATAATTATCCAGAAAGCGTTTAGATACTTTTTGATGTCCATGGCAATCATTAGAACGTTTAAGAACAATTTTTAACTACTATAGAAATCATTAAATATCTTCTGGATACCTTTTGAAGATTATAGAAATCATTAGAAAGCTTCTGGACACTTTTTGACGACTATATAAATCATTAGAGGGCTTCTAGAACTGTCCAGAAAGCTTTTAGACACTTTTTGACATCTTTAAAATCCCTCTGGATGCCTTCGTAAATGTCCAAAAAGAGTTTAAATACGTTTTGACGACTTTAAAACACTTTAGACAAGCTTTATAACTGTCCAAAAAGCCTATAGACACTTTTTATGACAGCTAACTTTAGGTTTAAAATGTCAATTTCAATTTTGACATATTTGTAATCTTCATTAAAAAACCTTTAAAATGAATACAAACACGACATATTTATCTTCAATATTAATGAAGTTGTGGTCAACTTCCGGTTAAAAATGTCAACGTCAATTTTGATATTTTCAATTTTTATAAAATGTCTTAAAATTTGTCACAAAAACGAAAATAAAATAAAAAAAAATCAAAAATTAAGGTTGGTATTAATATTGTTGGTATCTTCATTGTTGCTAACTTCGGGTTTAATATTTTTTGTTCTAACTTTTTTGTTTTTTAAGATAAATGCGTCATGTTTGGACTCATTTTAAAGGTTATTTTATAAAGATTACGAATATACAACTTGATGATACTTGAATTACACCAAAAATCATTTTTAGATACTTTGGCGATGACAATTTTGGCTCTAAGATGCATAGTTCGCGATCACCGCCACAGAAATCTCCANCTTGAATTACACCAAAAATCATTTTTAGATACTTTGGCGATGACAATTTTGGCTCTAAGATGCATAGTTCGCGATCACCGCCACAGAAATCTCCAACATTCGTTAAAACGCCCCGGAATGAGCTTAGCGAGGCAACAATTACCCGACGGGAGTTTCGGGAACTTATACAACACGGCTTTAACAATTTTGGTAGTACTAATTTCACCCAATTTAACAACTTTAAAAACTAAACGAAACATTTTAGGCTTTACAAGATGCACCGGAAGCGAATAATTATTGGAATAAATCTGCCGCTATCGGTTATATCGAAAGCAAACAAGACCCCGATGGGGCTTTCACCGATCCGGGATTAACGGCGGAAGTTATTTTGGCGTTATCTTCAAAGGGGTTAAGCGCCATTCGAGGATTTGATTGTGGAAAAATCGATCAAGAAGATGAGAATCATGGTAAAATTAATTTAACCTCACTTTTTATTTGTTTGGGTGATTCTAACCTCACTTTTTATTTGTTTGGGGTGATTCTAACCTAACTTTTTATTTGTTTGGGTGATTCTAACCTCACTAAAAAGTGTTAGAATCAGCCAAACAAATAAAAAATTGTTTGGGGGTGATTGTAACCTCACTTTTTATTTATTTATAGTTCGTTTTTTTTCTATAATACTTGTCAATTTACAGGGTGTCCCAATTTCGATGTCCGAATAGGCTCACTCGGAAACTATAAGAGTTAGAAAAACAGTAGCTTACATGTCATGATCTCGTTTTTCGAGAAACTGCTAATGCCGAAAACCTCATAGCGCTACCGTCTTTTGTTTTTCCCCTAGAGGCCAAAATTGAAAATATCGTAAAACCAATAAGTGCAATTATCTTGGTTATTATTATAGGTGGAGTATTATAACTACGACATTATATGGACACTTTTTTACAGAGAATTTCATGACGTAGTCNCATAATATCTCAAAATCTAAAACCGAAAATTTTTTTTTGACTACGTCATCAAATTCTCTTTAAAAAAGTGTCCATATAATGTCTTAGTTATAATACTCCACCTATAATAATAACCAAGATAATTACACTTGCTACTTTTACGATATTTTCAATTTTGGCCTCTAGGGGAAAAACAAAAGACGATAGCGCTTTGAGGTTTTTGGCATTAGCAGTTTCTCGAAAAATGAGTTCATGACATGTAAGCTATTTTTTTTCTAACTCTTATAGTTTCCGAGATAGCCCATTCGGACATCGAATTTGAACCACCCTGTACATTGTAAAAACGTGCTACAAAGTAAATAAATAGAACAAAACACCTTTTCTAGGCAAATAAACACACCACAACATTTTTTATGCACCTTTTCTTTTTGAATAACGAAAGTTCAAACGTCCGTGTGACATATTTATTTCAAAACATGATAAAACAAAACTCCCTGTTAATTTTACCAACTTTAGAACAATTTGGCAGGTATTATAGAAAAAAAATGAGCTATAGGTGATTCTAACCTCACTTTTTCTTTGTTTAGGGTGATTCTAACCTCACTTTTTCTTTGTTTGGAGTGATTCTAACCTCACTTTTTATTTATTTAGGTTTTTCTAACCTAACTTTTTATTTATTTAGGTTTTTCTAACCTAACTTTTATTTGTTTCAGTGATTCTAACCTCACTTTTTATTTATTTAGGTGATTCTAACCTCATTTTTTCTTTGTTTGGAGTGATTCTAACCTCACTTTTTATTTATTTGGGTGATTCTAACCTAACTTTTTATTTGTTTGGGTGATTCTAACCTCACTAAAAAGTGTTAGAATCACCCAAACAAATAAAAATTTGTTTGGGGGTGATTCTAACCTCACTTTTTATTTATTTAAGTGATTCTAACCTCACTTTTTCTTTGTTTGAGGGTGATTCTAACCTCACTTTTTATTTGTTTAGGTGATTCTAACCTCACTTTTTATTTATTTAGGTGATTCTAACCTAACTTTTTATTTGTTTGGGGTGATTCTAACCTCACTTTTTATTTATTTAGGTGATGGTTCTAACCTCACTTTTTATTTATTTAGGTGATTCTAACCTAACTTTTTATTTGTTTGGGTGATTCTAACCTCACTAAAAGTGTTAGAATCAGCCAAACAAATAAAAATTTGTTTGGGGTGACTCTAACCTCACTTTTTATTTATTTAGGTGATTCTAACCTCACTTTTTATCTATTTAGGTGATTCTAACCTCACTTTTTATTTGTTTGGGTGATTCTAACTTAACTTTTTATTTGTTTGGGTGATTTTTACCTCACTAAAAAGTGTTAGAATCACCCAAACAAATAAAAATTTGTTTGAGGGTGATTCTAACCTCACTTTTTATTTATTTAGGTGATTCTAACCTCACTTTTTCTAACCTCACTTTTTATTTATTTGGGTGATTTTTACCTCACTAAAAAGTGTTAGAATCACCCAAACAAATAAAAATTTGTTTGGGGGTGATTCTAACCTCACTTTTTATTTATTTAGGTGATTCTAACCTCACTTTTTATTTATTTAGGTGATTCTAACCTCACTTTTTCTTTGTTTGGAGTGATTCTAACCTCACTTTTTATTTATTTGGGTGATTCTAACCTAACTTTTTATATGTTTGGGTGATTCTAACCTAACTTTTTATACAGTGTGTCCCAGGATAGATGTTACAAGAGGTATAATGACTTAAAAATGTTTGAATTCTATTTCAAGGCTGAGGAATTAAGCCCTGCTTGGTGTGGAGAGAATTTTAAGTATATTTTCATATTTTCAAAACCAACTCGGCCTTGATAGTGAAGCGAAAACTATTTTGAGTTCAGGTAAAGTAAGCTTTTTGTTCATGATACGGCAAAATATCATCAAGAAAAGTTATTCAGAATGTAAAATTATGGCACTATGCAAAATTTCAGAAAGATCTACCTAGATTAATTAAACCACCATATTTTAGATTAGATCAGAGTGAAGAAAAAAAAAACAATGAAAAATGCCATGAAAAAAAATGACTTAAGTAGTCGCAAATATTGACAAATAAATTGTATTATCCCTCAGTTTTAGTTCACATTTCAATTACTATACAATATTTATGTTATTTAAACTAAAATGTGATGGTTCAACCAAAGTAGATAGATCCTTCTGAAATTTTGTATAGGACCATAATTTCTCATTTTGAACAACTTTTCTTAATAAAATTTTTCAGTATCATGAACAAAAAGATTACTTTACCTAAACTAAAAATAGTTTTCGATTCATTATACCTCTTGTAACATCTATCCTGGGACACACTGTATGTTTGGGGTGATTCTAACCTCATTTTTAATTTTTTTTTAAATATTTTTAGTGGAATATGATGGTTTAACGAAAAATCAACAATACCACGGAAATGATTCCGATGCGAGGAATGTAACCATAACTTACACGCTTTGGGTTGGTACGAATATCACGGAGAATTACACGATTTCTTTGGTGGCCCCCAGAAACTCATCGTTTTACTCGGTGATGCAAATGGCGATGGAGGCCGACCCCCGATTTGCTTTCGAAGCGTCCGAGTGGCCAAACGGTCATTATGTGCACACTTTGGCTGGGTTTAAAGAGGAGCCAATGGGGTACCATTATTGGTTGTTGTATCGGTTACCCGAAGTACCTGACCCTTTAGTTCCCCCAGCTAATCATATGGTTGCGCCAGTTGGTAAGGTTATGTTTAAACGTAAAGTTACAAAATTAAATTTTTTGTTTTAGGAGTTGACGATTTATTGATAGAGGAGGGTGATCATTTTCTGTTTTGGTACAAAAAGCTCTAAGTGATTCTAAATTAAAATTAGCGAGGAGGAAATTAAAACTAAAAAAAGGAACGATAAATACGGCACAACACTCTATTTAGGTGTACGAGCGGAGTTAAAAAAAAATAAATCAGTATTTGCTTATCGTCTCTAAGTATATCAAGAATAATAATAAAAAAAAATCTAAAAAGAAATACTCATATAAGAAAAAATTAAGGAATTAAAACAAAAAAAAACGTTTTGTAATGTTCGATGTGTTCAAAAATTAATCTAAAACCCAAAAAACAACTTTTTTAAAAACACACTTTGCCTCTTTCTAGTATTAAATCGCACACAACCGTAAAAAATTAAATCGCACCCTTTCTACTTTACGTTAACGTTAAAAACTTTTAAAAAAGCTGTTTTTATTTTTACCCCTCTTAGTATTTAATCGAAAAAATATGTAATAAACGTTTTTTGAAGGATGTAATAATTATTAATTAATTGATAAAAATAATAATTGTAATAATAATACTAATAATAATGTTTCTACGCGACAATATGTGTGTTTCGAAGGTTTCGATGTAGCTTAGACTTATAATTTCAAATGAATTAAACCACAAATAACAAATCTATGTGGGGATTAAAAATAATGAATCGCGCGAAAGGAAGTTGTTGAAAATTGATTATTTTTGTTAAGATTCGGCTTGGATTTGGTACAATAAAGTATTAACATAAATTTTTGCGGCTTATTTCAAGAAATCGAAACGATTCATATAAATCATTCATTAATAAACAAAGTCAATTAAAACTTACCAAATAAATAATTACACAAAAATTAATTTTTGAGGTTATGTTGTTTTTAGGTTGACAGATAACAACGCCGGTAAAGTAGGGTTCTTTATCGGCGTTGTTATCGCAATTAAAATTGAGATAATTAATTTTTACTAAATAAATCAGTCTAAATCTAAACAAATTTAATTATTTATTATAAAAATTAATTATTTCAATTAAAAGAAATTATTTACTTAAATTTTAAAACGTGGAAATTAGCAATGAAATTAGCGTCTTAATCGCGATCTATTTTCAAATGTTTTTTGTCAGACATCTTGCGTTTTAATCAACGCGTTTGAAGAAAATCGTGAAAATTGGAGGAAATCGTCGTAAATTTCAGGTAAAATCTTTAAAAAAGTATTAATTAATGCGTGCTTAACGTATTTTAGGTGAATTTATAACTAAAGAGATAATTCTCAATCATTTAGAAAAATTACCAAGGATTAACGAGGTGATTTTGAAGCGTTTTAATCTTATAAATCCATTTTAGATGCAGTTTTGGATCAATTTTTAATCAGAAATGAATGCTTGGAGCAGCTCAAGGTCTTAATTAACAGTTTGTCGAAGTACTTTATGCGAAATATGGAGACGTGAGGTAAAGAGGCAAAAACAAAGAGATTCTCTTCCTTGATTGTATTAGAATTAAAGGAACGAAAGGATAATAAAGGTAAATTAATTTTTGAGGTTATCTTGTTTTGGGTTGACAGATAAACTGCCGATAAAGTAGGGTTCTTATTCGTAATTAAAATTGATTTAATTAATTTTTAATAAAAAAATCAATCTAAATCTAAACAAATTTAATGAACAATAGAGTTAGCGATTGATTTTCAAATGTTTTTTGTCAGACATTTTGCATTTTAATCAACGCCTTTGGAGAAAATCGTGAAAATTCGAGGAAATCGTTTTAAATTACAGGTAAAATCTTTAAAAAAATGTTAATTAATGTGTTTCTACCATATTTTAGGTGAATTTATAACTAAAGAGATAATTCTCAATCATTTAGAGAAATTATTAAGGATTTGAAGTTATAATTCCATTCTAGATACAGTTTTGAATCAATGTTTAATCAATTTGAAGAATGGGGAATAGAAATTAACCAATTCTGTTGCTTGGAGCAGTTTCAATATCAACGAAAAGAGATAATAAAGGTAAATTAATTGTTGAGGTTATGTTGTTTTGGGTTGACAGATAAAATTGTCGATAAAGTAGGGTTCTCAAAAAAATGTTAATTAATATGTGTTTAACGTTTTTTTTTCTATATAGTCAAGACTAGCTATCCAGACCAGCCTACGTAGTAATAATCAGACTCGTGGTCACCTATATTTGGTTTGACAATAAGACCTTGATCAATGGTTGCTCTAGAAGTCCTAATCACTTCATTTATACATGTCATAATATGTCATCATAATATGTTAACCTCAATTTTGACATATTTGCAATATTCATTAAAAAACCTTTAAAATGAATACAAACACGACATATTTATCTTCAATATTAATGAAGTTAGTCAACTTCCGGTTAGAAATGTCAACGTCAATTTTGACATATTTGTAATCGCCGTGAAAAATCCTTTGTAATCAGCCCAAACATGAAATGTTTAATTTCAATGTTACTCGAGATATAAGCAACTTCCGGTTTGAAATGTCAACGTCATTTTGATAAATTTTTAATTTTTATGAAATGTCTTAAAATTTGTGACAAACAAAAATATAATAAAAAAAATCAAAAATTAAGGTTGGTATTAATATTTAAAAATTAAATTGCTATCTTCATTGTTGCTAATTTCGGGTTTAATGTTTTTTTTATTCTAACTTTTTTGTTTTTTGAGAGAAATGCATCATGTTTGGACTCATTTTAAAGGTTTTTTAATAAAGAATACATCACGAAGTTGTCCATTTGTCTATTTTATGAAAATAAACTTCAGATTTAAAATGTCAACCTCAATTTTGACATATTTGCAATATTCATTAAAAAACCTTTAAAATGAATACAAACACGACGTATTTATCTTCAATATTAATCAAGTTATAGTCAACTTCCGGTTAGAAATGTCAACGTCAATTTTGATAAATTTTTAATTTTTAATGAAATGTCTTAAAATTTGTGACAAAAACAAAAATATAATAAAAAAAATCAAAAATTAAGGTTGGTATTAATATTGTTGGTATCTTCATTGTGGCTAACTTCGCGCGTAATGTTTTTTATTCTAACTTTTTTGTTTTTTGAGAGAATTGCATCATGTTTGGACTCATTTTAAAGGTTTTTTAATAAAAAATACATCACGAAGTTGTCCATTTGTCTATTTTATGAAAATTAACGTCAGATTTAAAATGTCAACCTCAATTTTGACATATTTACAATATTCATTAAAAAACCTTTAAAATGAATACAAACACGACGTATTTATCTTCAATATTAATGAAGTTATAGTCAACTTCCGGTTAGAAATGTCAACATCAATTTTGATAAATTTTTAATTTTTATGAAATGCCTTAAAATTTGTGAGAAAAACAAAAATATAATAAAAAAAATCAAAAATTAAGGTTGGTAATAATATTTAAAAATTAAATTGCTATCTTCATTGTTGCTAACTTCGCGCGTAATGTTTTTTATTCTAACTTTTTTGTTTTTTGAGAGAATTGCATCATGTTTGGACTCATTTTAAAGGTTTTTTAATAAAGAATACATCACGAAGTTGTCCATTTGTCTATTTTATGAAAATTAACTTCAGATTTAAAATGTCAACCTCAATTTTGACATATTTGCAATATTCATTAAAAAACCTTTAAAATGAATACAAACACGACATATTTATCTTCAATATTAATGAAGTTATGGTCAACTTCCGGTTAGAAATGTCAACTTCAATTTTGACATATTTGTAATCGTCGTGAAAAATCCTTTGTAATCAGCCCAAACATGATATGTTTAATTCCAATGTTACTCGAGATATAAGCAACTTCCGGTTTGAAATGACAACGTCATTTTGATAAATTTTTAATTTTTATAGAATGTGTTAAAATTTTATGTGGGACAAGTAGGAAATATATTTGAGTACGATAGATTTAGAACGTATCCTTTAGGATACGTTCTTTAATGAAATTATTCATTTTTTATGTCATTTAATAACAGATGTCACTTTTAAACGAATCATTTTTTCGATTTAATTTCGAATTAATAATTAATTATAAACTAAATTAAAAAGAGAAATAAATTAATTAATTAAAGGCACGCGGCCCGTTCCAAAAACGGGGTAACAAAAAGAAATCGGTTTCTGTTTGCGAAAAGAGCGAGAGAAAAAACTTTCACATATTTCTTCCAATTCGGATGCGTTACGTTTTAGAAATTTTTTTTTAATCAACGTACTCAATTTTGTATTTACGTCAATTTTGACGTTTACGATTTTGACGTAAACGTCAAAAAGAAATTCTTTTTTAGGAATTTGTGTTAATTTAACCTATTGGCACAGATTTTTTAGTATGTGTGTATTGGTTAAAGTTAAACGCAGGTGTTTGATGATTAATTTTTTTAGGTGTGGTTGTGCTATATCATTCTTGGGATTCTTCCGAGTCAAATTGGGCGATAACCTCACTTTTTTGACGTTTTAATTTTATTTTTTTTTAATTTTATCCCTTTAAAACCGAATTCTAAGAGGCAAGAAGAATTTCTTCTTCTACCTGGTATGCCAATATCCCCACCAAGCCCAATCCCGCCCGTTCATACACACCGGGACATTCTCCAAGGTGGAACACCTTGTGTCGGCCGTTTACGTGGACAGTCAACAGTTTCTGAGCCATCGCGTAACCTAACCACATTTTTTCCGCGGATCTCGCTTTAAAACCCCCCAAACGGAGTTAATTTCGCCCCAACGAATCGATCCGTTCGCTTCGAATTCGGGAAACCCCGAAAGTTATTCGCAAAAACGGCTGTGAGGAATTTAAGGTGTGCCTAGGACCATAAGTGACCTCGCAAGTTGGGGGAAACTATTTAGCTCCAACTAAACTATCAACTACGACTTATCAACACAATTTAGTGCGGATTTACTCGAGGATTTAAATTTTTTTTTGGGATTTAGGTGAAAAGGTGAGTTTTTTTTTGAAACTTTTCCGGGTTTGTTTTTACGATGTGGTGGGAAAACGGATTGTCGTCGTCTCAGCGCGGAAATATAACGGAATGTTGCATATCTGTTGTACACGATTCTGCGCCGTTCGTTCTCGCAAACAGAAAATGTCAAGTTAAGTTGCGTTATGTGGCTTCTAATTAATTGAAGCGCTAAAAACTAAAAATATTAACTCCCAATAATAAGCGTCGTTCAAGGAGTCCTTGAAGCAAATTTATGCGAACTCTAAGTCGTAAATCACGAATTAGCAATTAAGATGGTCATCAATAAAACATAGTTATTTGGATTTTTTAGATGAAGAAACTTTAAACTTAAGAAATCAAATCAAATTCAAAATGTCGGAGTCAACCCCAATTTGTCGCTGCAGAGTTTTATATTTAGGAAGTTCCGTTCCCCAACAAACTAAAGATGGGTTACAAGGAATCCAAGAGCCCCTCCAGGAATTGTACCCTGATCAAGGAGCAACGGGGGCGCGGGGGATCGATAGCTGGTTAAGCGTCTGGTCAAACGGGATTTTGTTGGAAAACGTCGACGAAAACCACAAGAAAATAACCCGGTTTTTCCCAATTGAAAGCCTACATTATTGCGCGGCCGTTAGGTGAGTTAAAAAAACAAATATACTTTCTACATATTACATAATCATTTCAATTCGGTTGTAAAATAAACGATGGAGAAGAACTGGTTTTTTATAATTTATAACAACTCGTTTATTAAAACAAAAATTTTGTTATTAAGAAGAACTTTCTCACACTCCCAACGCATAACATGATTTGTAACACAATAAGAGGATTCATTCTTTGAGAATCACCTTTGTGTTTGGAATTGTTTTACCACGAAACCCAGCGGACCTTGACTCCTCATCCTGAGGAAGTCTTCTTTTCATTCATGCGATTTCGCCTTATTTATTATTATTATTTTTTTTTAGATACGTTTTGGTGCCGGAAAAAAACACGCTCCACACCCCATCGCCGCGTTTTTTACCACTAGATTCGCCGTTTGCGAGGACCCCGAATCCCGTACATCCTCCGTTATTCGCGGCGATCCTCCGAAGGACGACCGGAATAAAAGTATTGGAATGTCACGCGTTCATATGCAAACGAGAGGTGGCCGCTAACGCTTTGGTTCGATGTTGTTTTCATGCTTACGCCGATTCGTCCTATGCGAAACAGGTCGACACGGCCGGGAGTATTTACGGAACTTTGGCTTCCGATAGAATGTCAAAAGAAAAAGTAAGAAAATTTTGAATCAAAATTGACGTTTTCGTAAAGAAAATGAAAAATCCTTTGAAATGAGTACAAACTCGATGGGGTTATCTTCAAAAATGAAAAAGATAACCTAAATAGCTTAGACGCCATTTTGAAAAAAATAATTTTCATTGACACATATCAAAAAGAAATAAAAAATCCTTTAATTTGAGTCCAAACACGATGGGGTTATCTCTAAAAACGAAAAAGATAACCTAAATAACTCATCCGCCATTTTGAAAACAATTTTCATTGACATACATCAATAGGAAATGAAAAATCCTTTAATTTGAGCCCAAACACGATGGGGTTATCTCAAAAAATCATTTATACTTTAATGATATCAATGATATATGGAGATCCGCCATTTTGAAAGAAATCAAAAAGTTGATTTTTGAATAACCCCATCGTGTTTGGTGTCATTGTAAAGGATTTTTGATGTGGATTACGAATTTTGATATAAAAAAGATTTTCAACATCATCTAAATTGAGCATAACCTAACTTATGAAAGTACAAAATTTCTAATTTAATTTTTTGTTGATGTTTTCGTAAAGATAATGAAAAATCCGCTGAAATGAGTCCAAACTCAATGGGGTTATGTTTAAAAATAAAAAAGATAACCTAAATAACTTAGCCGCCATTTTGAAAAAACAATTTCCATTAACATATATCAATAGGAAATGAAAAATCCTTTAATTTGAGCCCAAACACGATGGGGTTATCTCAAAAAATCATTTATACTTTAATGATATCAATGATATATGGAGATCCGCCATTTTGAAAGAAATCAAAAAGTTGATTTTTGAATAACCCCATCGTGTTTGGTGTCATTGTAAAGGATTTTTGATGTGGATTACGAATTTTGATATAAAAAAGATTTTCAACATCATCTAAATTGAGCATAACCTAACTTATGAAAGTACAAAATTTCTAATTTAATTTTTTGTTGATGTTTTCGTAAAGATAATGAAAAATCCGCTGAAATGAGTCCAAACTCAATGGGGTTATGTTTAAAAATAAAAAAGATAACCTAAATAACTTAGCCGCCATTTTGAAAAAACAATTTCCATTAACATATATCAATAGGAAATGAAAAATCCTTTAATTTGAGCCCAAACACGATGGGGTTATCTCAAAAAATCATTTATACTTTAATGATATCAATGATATATGGAGATCCGCCATTTTGAAAGAAATCAAAAAGTTGATTTTTGAATAACCCCATCGTGTTTGGTGTCATTTTTAAGGATTTTTGATGTGGATTACGAATTTTGATATAAAAAAGATTTTCAACATCATCTAAATTGAGCATAACCTAACTTATGAAAGTACAAAATTTCTAATTTAATTTTTTGTTGATGTTTTCGTAAAGATAATGAAAAATCCGCTGAAATGAGTCCAAACTCAATGGGGTTATGTTTAAAAATAAAAAAGATAACCTAAATAACTTAGCCGCCATTTTGAAAAAACAATTTCCATTGACATATATCAATAGGAAATGAAAAATCCTTTAATTTGAGCCCAAACACGATGGGGTTATCACAAAAAATCATTTATACTTTAATGATATCGATGATATGGAAATCCGCCATTTTGAAAATTATGAATAAGTTGATTTTTGAATAATCCCATCGTGTTTGGTATCATTTTTAAGGATTTTTGATGTGGATTATGAATTTTAATATAAAAAAATGTTTCAACATCATCTAAATTGAGCATAACCTAACTTATAAAAGTATAAAATTTCTAATTTAATTTTTTGTTGATGTTTTCGTAAATATAAAGAAAAATCCTCTAAAATGAGTCCAAACTCGATGGAGTTATCTTCAAAAATAAAAAAGATAACCTAAATAACTTAGCCGCCATTTTGAAAACACAATTTTCATTGACATATATCAATAGGAAATAAAAAATCCTTTAATTTGAGCCCAAACACGATGGGTTTATCTCAAAAAATCATTTATACTTTAATGATATCAATGATATATGGAGATCCGCCATTTTGAAAGAAATCAAAAAGTTGATTTTTGAATAACCCCATCGTGTTTGGTGTCATTTTTAAGGATTTTTGATGTGGATTATGAATTTTAATATAAAAAAATGTTTCAACATCATCTAAATTGAGCATAACCTAACTTATAAAAGTATAAAATTTCTAATTTAATTTTTTGTTGATGTTTTCGTAAATATAAAGAAAAATCCTCTAAAATGAGTCTAAACTCGACGGGGTTATCTTCAAAAATAAAAAAGATAACCTAAATAACTTAGCCGCCATTTTGAAAACACAATTTTCATTGACATACATCAATAGGAAATAAAAAATCCTTTAATTTGAACCCAAACACGATGGGGTTATCTCAAAAAATCATTTATACTTTAATGATATCCATGATATATGGAGATCCGCCATTTTGAAAGAAATCAAAAAGTTGATTTTTGAATAACCCCATCGTGTTTGGTGTCACTGTAAAGGATTTTTGATGTGGATTATGAATTTTAATATAAAACAATGTTTCAACATCATCCTAATTGAACATAACCTAACTTATAAAAGTATAAAATATGAAATTAAATTTTTTGTTAACATTTTCGTAAAGATAATGAAAAATCCTCTAAAATGAGTCCAAACTCGATGGAGTTATCTTCAAAAATAAAAAAGGTAACCTAAATAACTTAGCCGCCATTTTGAAAGAAGTCGAAATTTTGATTTTTGAATAACCCCATCGTGTTTGGTATCATTTTTAAGGATTTTTGATGTGGATTATGAATTTTAATATAAAAAAATGTTTCAACATCATCTAAATTGAGCATAACCTAACTTATAAAAGTATAAAATTTCTAATTTAATTTTTTGTTGATGTTTTCGTAAATATAAAGAAAAATGCTCTAAAATGAGTCCAAACTCGATGGAGTTATCTTCAAAACTAAAAAAGATAACCTAAATAACTTAGCCGCCATTTTGAAAAAACAATTTCCATTGACATATATCAATAGGAAATGAAAAATCCTTTAATTTGAGCCCAAACACGATGGGGTTTCTCAAAAAATCATTTATATTTTAATGATATCGATGATATGGAAATCCGCCATTTTGAAAATTATGAATAAGTTGATTTTTGAATAACCCCATCGTGTTTGGTATCATTTTTAAGGATTTTTGATGTGGATTATGAATTTTAATATAAAAAAATGTTTCAACATCATCTAAATTGAGCATAACCTAACTTTTAAAAGTATAAAATTTCTAATTTAATTTTTTGTTGGTGTTTTCGTATATATAAAGAAAAATCCTCTAAAATGAGTCTAAACTCGATGGAGTTATCTTCAAAAATGAAGAAGATAACCTAAATAACTTAGCCGCCATTTTGAAAAAAACAATTTTCGTTGACATATATTAATAGGAAATAAAAAATCTTTTAATTTGAGCCCAAACACGAAGGGGTTATCTCAAAAAATCATTTATACTTTAATGATATCGATGATATGAAAATCCGCCATTTTGAAAATAATCAATAAGTTGATTTTTGAATAACCCCATCGTGTTTGGTATCATTTTAAAGGATTTTTGATGTGGATTACGAATATTTATATAAAAAATTTTTTCAACATCATCTAAATCGTGCATAACCTAATTTATAAAGATATAAAACTGTAAATTTAATTTTTTACTGATGCTTTTGTAAAGATAATGAAAAAATCCTTTAAAATGAGTCCAAACTCGATGGGGTGATCTTCAAAAATGAAAAAGATAACCTAAATAACTTAGCCGCCATTTTGAAAAAAAAAATTAAGGTAACCCCACCTTGTTGGTACTCATTTTAAAGGATTTTTAATGAGGATGACATTTTTTTAAATTAAAAAGTAATCCAACCCAACCCAATTCAACTTAATCAAGCATAACCTAATCTAGTAAAATAGAAAAGAATTTTCGGTGATATTTTCTAATAGGAAATAAAAAATCTTTTAATTTGAACCCAAACACGACGGGGTTATCTCAAAAAATCGTTTAAATCCGAATGACATCGATGATATAAAAATCCGCCATTTTGAAAAAAATAATTGTATTAACAGGGTCGTGTTGGTACTCATTTTAAAGGATTTTTAATGGAGATTACGATTTTTTAAATGAAAAATTGAAAAGTAATCATTTTTAAACCCAACCTAATCGAACCTAACCTCTCCTCACAAAATAAATGAAGATTTTTGTTGATATTTTTTGTTAGGAAATAAAAAATCCTTNGTGTTTGGTATCATTTTTAAGGATTTTTGATGTGGATTATGAATTTTAATATAAAAAAATGTTTCAACATCATCTAAATTGAGCATAACCTAACTTATAAAAGTATAAAATTTCTAATTTAATTTTTTGTTGGTGTTTTCGTATATATAAAGAAAAATCCTCTAAAATGAGTCTAAACTCGATGGAGTTATCTTCAAAAATGAAGAAGATAACCTAAATAACTTAGCCGCCATTTTGAAAAAAACAATTTTCGTTGACATATATTAATAGGAAATAAAAAATCTTTTAATTTGAGTATAAACACGACGGGGTTATCTCTAAAAATCATTTAAACCTAAATGATATCGATGATATGGAAATCCGCCATTTTGAAAATAATCAATAAGTTGATTTTTGAATAACCCCATCGTGTTTGGTATCATTTTAAAGGATTTTTGATGTGGATTACGAATATTTATATAAAAAATTTTTTCAACATCATCTAAATCGTGCATAACCTAATTTATAAAGATATAAAACTGTAAATTTAATTTTTTACTGATGCTTTTGTAAAGATAATGAAAAAATCCTTTAAAATGAGTCCAAACTCGATGGGGTGATCTTCAAAAATGAAAAAGATAACCTAAATAACTTAGCCGCCATTTTGAAAAAAAAAATTAAGGTAACCCCACCTTGTTGGTACTCATTTTAAAGGATTTTTAATGAGGATGACATTTTTTTAAATTAAAAAGTAATCCAACCCAACCCAATTCAATTTAATCAAGCATAACCTAACCTAGTAAAATAGAAAAGAATTTTCGGTGATATTTTCTAATAGGAAATAAAAAATCTTTTAATTTGAACCCAAACACGACGGGGTTATCTCAAAAAATCGTTTAAATCCGAATGACATCGATGATATAAAAATCCGCCATTTTGAAAAAAATAATTGTATTAACAGGGTCGTGTTGGTACTCATTTTAAAGGATTTTTAATGGAGATTACGATTTTTTAAATGAAAAATTGAAAAGTAATCATTTTTAAACCCAACCTAATCGAACCTAACCTCTCCTCACAAAATAAATGAAGATTTTTGTTTGATATTTTTTAATAGGAAATAAAAAATCCATTAATTTGAGTCCAAACTCGATGGGGTTATCTTCAAAAATAAAAAAGATAACCTAAAATGTTGTCCGCCATTTTGAAAAAAAAAATTGAAATAACATGGTCGTGTGGGTACTCATTTTAAAGGATTTTTAATGGAGATTACGATTTTTTAAATGAAAAATTGAAAAGTAATCATTTTTAAACCCAACCTAATCGAACCTAACCTCTCCTCACAAAATAAATGAAGATTTTTGTTTGATATTTTTTAATAGGAAATAAAAAATCCATTAATTTGAGTCCAAACTCGATGGGGTTATCTTCAAAAATAAAAAAGATAACCTAAAATGTTGTCCGCCATTTTGAAAAAAAAAATTGAAATAACATGGTCGTGTGGGTACTCATTTTAAAGGATTTTTAATGGAGATTACGATTTTTTAAATGAAAAATTGAAAAGTAATCATTTTTAAACCCAACCTAATCGAACCTAACCTCTCCTCACAAAATAAATGAAGATTTTTGTTTGATATTTTTTAATAGGAAATAAAAAATCCTTTAATTTGAGTCTAAACTCCATGGGGTTATCTTCAAAAATAAAAAAGATAACCTAAAATGTTAGCCGCCATTTTGAAAAAAAAAATTTATAATAACCCTGTCATGTTGGTACTCATTTCAAAGGATTTTTAATGACGATTACGAATTTTTACGTTAAATTTTAAACAAAAATGATTTTATACTACAATTTAACCTAAAATAAGAAATAAAAAACTTTTTTGACATTTTAGGTGGAAGATTGGAAAATGAACCGATCACAATCAGGTTCAACGATGACAATAAACACAATCGGAAAATCGAATGACGAAATAAGTATTTACAACGGAGATGAAAACCATAAAGTTTGGGCCGGTTCGCAAGACAACATCGATCAAATTTACGATGTTTACTCTTCATCAACGATAAGCAGGCCATCAAGACCACGCCAAATCACGGCTCCGGTTACAGTTCCACCCCCGCCTCCACCCCCATCATCAAAAGAAAAAACAAATTCAAACAAAAAACAACAACGACCAAAAAATCGAATGTCCAACGGGAATCACCACCAAAAAGAGGAACTTTACTCATCGGGATTAATGAACGGAAAAGCTAATAGCGTTTCTGGGACGATGTTAAAACAAGGGCGAATTCCCCAACATTTCCAACAACAACAAAATATTCAACAACAACCGATTTACATCATGGCACCGCATCACCATCCCCACCAAACATTACCAAACCCAAAATTTATGAAACACGGAAACACATTTTCCCATCGACCCAGAGGGAAAATGTTAATCCCAGCACGCCCAATCCCGCCACCTTTAGTCCCAGTCCCGGCCTCGGTGATTTTACCCCCCACAACGATGACCAACAAAAAAAACAAAAACAAATCGAAACAACGCGGCGTCGAAGAACCGATTTATATGCCAAGTAATCGCGCGATGTCCCCCGTCGCCAGTTATCAACCGGTTAATTTCCCGCACGAAGCCTATTTAATGCAACATTACGCAACGATGGAATCCCCGAAACACAAACAAAAACAACGAGAGAAATCCCAAGAAAAACAACAAGTACCATCGGCGAAAATGAATAAGAAATTAACCCAAAGTATGAATGGATTGGATGATCCTAATTTAATTAGGGACGATGAGGGTGGGAGTCCTTTTAACACGGGGATTTACAGGAAGAAGGGCCACTTAAACGAACGGGCTTTTAGTTATTCAATTCGACAAGAACACAGATCGAGAAGTTATGGATCTTTGGCTAATTTAAAATTTGCAACTCCAATTCCTAATGGGGTCGATGTAAGATGATTTAATTTAATTAATTTAATTGATTTAAAATTGAATTTTAGGTTGAAGATAGAGAAGATATAAAAAAGGAGAGGGAAATAATGCAAATGGTGCATGATTTAGACTTATCTGGAGATGAAATTGAGCGCTCGGAGGTGCCTCGGGCTATTTACGAGGCAAGGGGGCCCCCTCCTGGTTCCGTTATTGTCACTCCGGCTCAAATTAACGGAAAGGGATATCGGAGATAGGTAAAAAATGTTGATCATCGAAATATCTATGTTTAACGATCGTTTTTAGGTGCTAAATTAACGAGGGATAGCAATTATTGTAAATAACTACCAAAAAAAAAGCAAGCAAGGAGTTGTAAATAAAGTAGATTTTAACAATTTTTGCTCAAATCATCACGGAAATTAATCAAAATTGAGGTTTTTAGATATTTCATAAATTTAATTTTATTTGAAGGTATTGGATCTATTATTATATTTTTACGTACCGATTTTTTTTTAAGTAATTTTACCAAATAATAACAATTAATTAGTTATAATAAAGGAATCATTTTAATTTTTGTGTAAATATTAAGGTTATATTACTCATGATTATTAGATTATCGCTATTTTATTCCATTTCTTTGTTTAGTTATCACCGGTAATCATAAGAAATTATAATTAATTCAAAAATATATATGTATAGTGCCATTTAAATAAACGTTTATGATTTAATTCTCTTTTTCATCTTCAATATTGTTTAAATAAATTTAAAGTCCCTAGATTTACAAAGTACCGCGGTTTGACGCCATTTTGGGTCGAAAGTCAAGCGGGAAATTTAAAACTATGTCGTTCTATTGATAACATTACGCAAACCGAGTTACTTTGTAAATCTAGGGACTTTAAATAAATTCATTTTAAAGCGCCATCTATCAAAAATCTAAATTATTACTTATTAAATTAAAGCTTTGTAATATAGATGGCGCTAGTTTAATCGTGATTAATATGACAAACGTCTAATAACATAACCTAAAAAAATAAATTTATAACAAATTTTAGTAAAATTAATTAATCTATCAAATTGAGGAAAATCACTTGTTTAAATAGTAACAACATAACCACAAAAAAAAATAAATTAATAATGAGTTATGAGTAAGTTAACTAAATCAACAAGAATAAAATTAAAGAAAATAACACTTAGCTTGGTCTGTTGGTTGTAGGATAAAGAAGTCCACGGTACGGGATTCAAGGATTATCAGGAACGGGAACCACAATGATGTTTCTTCACCAGGGTTGTAGGATAATGAAGTCCATGGTATGGGATTTTTTTTATTTTGAGGTTATGTCAACATTTATCTTTTCACATAACCTAAAACGTTCGACGAGACAAAATTTGCGTGCGTTCTCCCTCAAGTTCAAAACCACACTAAAATTTTTAATTTTCCTTTGTTTAATGTTGAAATTGAAAAATGGCGTTTCCTGATTGGTCAATTCCATTAACTTGAAATTCGTTTTTAAAATTTTCCAATATTACCAACTTTAACATTTGAAATGTCACTAATTTAATTTGATTAATAATTTAATTTTTTTTGTTTAATAACTATATTTATGTATGAAATTTTGTATTTTAATGCTTTTTTAAATTGCTTTTCAGATATCTGATCATTTTCTTCTACATTTAAGGGCAAAATTCCAAAAATCTGGAGGTTATGAATTTTCGTCTAAAATTTCATTAATTCACACAAAGGATGGCTGTTTTTTATTCTTACTATGTTTAGATCATCATTTTTAATAGCTTTAACTGGATGAATAAGGATTTGAATAAGAAATTGAGAAAAAAATCAAATTGAGGTTATGTATCTGTCAAGGGGGCTTTTAAAATACTTCGTATGGACTTTACATGGGTTATATACAATAAAAAACACCAACGGCCAATAATACATAACTGAATTCGTCAGTAAATAATGTTTTATATTATAAAATGAAATTACAAGTGAAATTTAGCTCTCGGAAGTTCCAAGAGGTCTCTCGGAAGACTATTTCTACTTTTGTTATTGTAAATCCATCTCAATTTAATGCAAAACGATATCGAGGTGGGTAAATAACGTTTTTATTAATAAATAATTCAAAATTAATGTTTTTAGGTGCTAATTAAACCTCAAAATTGAAATGTCAAAGTTGAAACATAACCTCAAAAAAGTAAATTGGGATTATTTTTTAATATTTTTCGAATTAGAATGACTTAAAATCGATTTAGATTATTTATTTAAGTTAAAAATAGAGAATATATCAGAAAAACGTGAAATAATGCTTAATTTGTATGAAATTTAGCTCTTGGATGTTCCAAGAGATATCTCCGAGGACGTTTTTTAATTTTATTATTGTAAATCCATCTCAAATTAATGCAAAACGATATCCAGGTGGGTAAATAACGTTTTTATTAATAAATAATTCAAAATTAATGTTTTTAGGTGCTAATTAAACGTCAAATTGAAATGTCAAAGTCGAAACATAACCTAAAAAAAATGAATTTGAACTATTTTTTACATTAAGAATTAGAATGAGTTAAAATCGATTGGAATACATTTTAGATTATTTATTTAAGTTGCAAATAGAGAATATATCAGAAAAACGCGAAATAATGCTTAATTTGGATGAAATTTAACTTTCGGAAGTTCCAAGAGGTATCTCCAAGGACTTTTTTCAAGTTTATTATTGTAAATGCATCTCAAATTAATGCAAAACGATATCGAGGTGGGTAAATAACGTTTTTATTAATAAATAATTCAAAATTAATGTTTTTAGGTGCTAATTAAACGTCAAAATTGAAATGTCAAAGTTGAAACATAACCTAAAAAAATAAATTTTAATTATTTTTTAATATTTTTAGAATTAAAATCGATTGGAATACATTTTAGATGATTTATTTAAGTTGCAAATAGAGAATATATCAGAAAAGCGCGAAATAATGCTTAATTTGGATGAAATTTAACTCTCGGAAGTTCCAAGAGGTATCTCCAAGGACTTTTTAAAATTTTATTAGTGTAAATCCATCTCAAATTAATACAAAAGGATATCGAGGTGGGTAAATAACGTTTTTATTAATAAATAATCAAAATTAATGATTTTAGGTGCTAATTAAACGTCAAATTGAAATGTCAAAGTTGAAACATAACCTCAAAAAAATAAATTGGGATTATTTTTTAATATTTTTCGGATTAAAATGAATTAAAATCGATTGGAATACATATTAAATGATTAATTTAAGTTGCAAATAGAGAATATATCAGAAAAACTCAAAATAATGCTTAAATTTAACTCTCGGAAGTTCCAAGAGGTATCTACAAAGACTTTTTCTAATTTTATTATTGTAAATGCGTCTCAAATTAATGCAAAACGATATCGAGGTGGGTAAATAACGTTTTCATTAATAAATAATTCAAAATTAATGTTTTTAGGTGCTAATTAAACGTAAAATTGAAATGTCAAAGTTGAAACATAACCTCAAAAAAATGAATTGGGATTATTTTTTAATATTTTTCGGATTAAAATGAGTTAAAATCGATTTAGATTATTTGTTTAAGTTAAAGGTAGAGAATATATCAGAAAAACACGAAATAATGCTTAATTTGGATGAAATTTTGCTCTCGGAAGTTCCAAGAGTTATTTCCAACGACTTTTTTCAATTTTATTATTGTAAATCCATCTCAAATTAATGCAAAACGATATCGAGGTGGGTAAATAACGTTTTTATTAATAAATAATTCAAAATTAATGTTTTTAGGTGTTAATTAAACGTCAAAATTGAAGTGTCAAAGTCGAAACATAACCTAAAACTATAAATTTGACTTATTTTTTAATGTTAAGAATTAAAATGAGTTTAAATTGATTAATGTTTAATATTATTTAATAAAAAGTTTAAATAAATTATTAAAAATTAATTTAATTTAAATCATTGTAATATAGATGGCGCAAATGTATATCGATTTGGTTGATGAAATTTATGTTGGTACTACTTAAATAAAATCGTTAAACGTCAAACATCTAAAAGTCTAAAAATAACCTAAAAAACTTAAGTCATTTCTATTTTTATATATTTTTGGGATTAAAACGAGATAAAACCGCTTTAAAATCGATCGAAAATATTTTAGATTATTGATTAAAGTCGGAGTAGAAACGCTTGATATCGCCATCTGTTGCGTTTAACCCACATTAATTGAGTCGCGTAAGTACACAAGCACCATAAACACGAGGTTACACGCAGGGGAAGAACCTGTCTACGTAATTATACTGGAAAGTACCGTAATCGCGGTTATTCGTAATCAGTTTCAGTAGAAAAATCGAATTCCCCTCAAACAAACAGCTGGGTTTCCCCAAAAAAGTCTTTGTCATGGATATAATGGATCAGTTTCGAAACGAAACCGAGCTAATCGGGTTCAAAAATAACCAACCCGTTACGAGAAAACGAAATTTAGGCTTGGGAGTGGAAGGAAAAAGCGTCGTTTTAACCGGAAATAACAAAGTAATCATATTACAAAACAATAAAAGTGTCCGAATCCCAATGAGATTGTGCACAATGGTCCCGGAAAACGTAAGAAAAGCAGTTTTAGAACAACTTCCCAACATCAAAGATAAGAAACATGTGGAGGCCAAACCTTATCGCAACGGAGATAACGAAAATAATCAAAAAAGTGGGACTTCACACGAATTAGTCGCAGTTAAAACTGAGCCGGAAGAAGTCGAATTAATTAAACGTAAAATGGATGTTAACGAAGTGAAACCAAATCGAATTCGGGCGAAAAAAAAGATTGTTAGGAGATCGAACCAACAAAAAACGTTACAAAACATCGTCAAGTTATTAAAAAGGAATCAAAAGGGTAAATTAAAAAGGAATTTAACGAAACGTTCGATTTCGTGCCAAACGGAAGCGTTTACGAACGATATTTCTTGCCAAACCGATGAATTAATTGGAAATGAGATTTTGAGTTTGTTTGAGAATATAGATAAAGATTCGATTTTGGGCTCACCTTCTGATTTTATGACGATTGATTATCCATCTCCAGGGAATTATTTTGTGAACAATCAAAATAATCAATTACAAAGTGATTATGGAAATCATTTGGATGTTAGGAAGGTTAGGTTTTATGAGAATTTAAAGAATTGTGATTGTCCTGATGCTGCTGGGCACATGTAAGTAGAAAAAAATTTAAAAATTGATCATTTTAAAAAATGGTGCCTACAAAAGTTGTTCCTTTTTTAATTCTGAACAAGTTTTATTTGAAAAATATTTTGATACAAACAATAATTAGGAAGATAATCTTGAATTTAATTTCTATACTATTCAGAGGGAAATTAAAAAATTGATAATTTTAAAAAATGATGCCTACAAAAGTTGTTCCTTTTCTAATTCTAAACAAGTTTTATTTGAAAAATATTTTGATACAAACAATAATTGGGAAGATAATTTTGAATTTCATTTCTATACTATTCACAGGGAAATTAAAAAATTGATAATTTTAAAAAATGGTTACAACAAAAGTTGTTCCTTTTCTAATTCTAAACAAGTTTTATTTGAAAAATATTTTGATAAAAACAATAAACAGGAAGATATTCTTGAATTTAATTTCTATACTATTCAGAGGGAAATTTAAAAATTGATAATTTTAAAAAATGGTCCCAATAAAAGTTGTTCCTTTTCTAATTCTAAACAAGTTTTATTTGAAAAATATTTTGATAAAAACAATAATTGGGAAGATAACCTTGAATTTCTTTTCTATACTATTCAGAGGGAAATTTAAAAATTGATAATTTTAAAAAATGATGCCTACAAAAGTTGTTCCTTTTCTAATTCTAAACAAGTTTTATTTGAAAAATATTTTGATACAACCAATAATTAGGAAGATATTCTTGAATTTAATTTCTATACTATTCAGAGGGAAATTAAAAAATTGATAATTTTAAAAAATAGTCTGAACAAAAGTTGTTCCTTTTCTAATTCTAAACAAGTTTTATTTGAAAAATATTTTGATACAACCAATAATCAGGAAGATATTCTTGAATTTAATTTCTATAAGTACTATTCAGAGGGAAATTAAAAAATTGATAATTTTTAAAAATGGTTCCAACAAAAATTGTTCCTTTTCTAATTTTAAACAAGTTTTATTTGAAAAATATTTTGATAAAAACAATAATTGGGAAAATAATCATGAATTTCGTTTCTATACTATTCACAGGGAAATTAAAAATTGATAATTTTAAAAAATGGTCCCAACAAAAGTTGTTCCTTTTCTAATTCTAAACAAGTTTTATTTGAAAAATATTTTGATACAACCAATAATTAGGAAGATATTCTTGAATTTAATTTCTATAAGTACTATTCAGAGGGAAATTAAAAAATTGATAATTTTAAAAAATGGTGCCTACAAACATTGTTCCTTGTTTAATTCTGAACAAGTTTTATTTGAAAAATATTTTGATACAACCAATAATTGGGAAGATATTCTTGAATTTAATTTCTATACTATTCAGAGGGAAATTAAAAAATTGGTAATTTTAAAAAATGATGCCTACAAAAGTTAATCCTTTTTTAATTCTTAACAAATTTTATTAATAACATTTTTCAAAATAACCAAATTTTAATTTCCCTCTGAATAGTATAGTACAGAGCTGTCAATGCAAATAAAGAGATTTCGAAAACGATTTTTATCAAAAAATGTTTCGTATAATATTTATTTAAAATTTAATTATAAATCGATTATTTTAATAAATTTTTTCAATATCTCCATCAGGTGGGGTTCTACACTCGTATAAAAATTAATATTTTTGAGGTTATGTCAACAATTATTGATCGAATCAAAATTTTTTATAAACAATATTTGTTTAGGACCAAATTACAAACAATTTTTATTAACAACATTTTTCAAAATAACCAAATTTTAATTTCCCTCTGAATAGTACAAGTACAGAGCTGTCAATGCAAATAAACGAATTTAGAAAAAGATTTTTATCAAAAAATGTTTCGTATAACATTTGTTTAAAATTTAATTCTAAATCGATTATTTTAATAAATTTTTTCAGCATCTCCACCAGGTGGGGCTCTACACTCGTATAAAAATTAATATTTTTGAGGTTATCTCAACAATTATTGATCGTATCAAAATTTTTTATAAACAATATTTATTTAGGACCAAATTACAAACAAATTTTATTAATAAAATTTTTCAAAATAACCAAATTTTAATTTCCCTCTGAATAGTATAGTACAGAGCTGTCAATGCAAATAACGTGATTTCGAAAAAGATTTTTATCAAAAAATGTTTCGTATAATATTTGTTTAAAATTTAATTCTAAATCGATTATTTTAATAAATTTTTTCAACATCTCCACCAGGTGGGGCTCTATACTCGTATAAAAATTAATATTTTTGAGGTTATGTCAACAATTATTGATCGTATCAAAGTTTTTTATAAACAATATTTGTTTAGGACCTAATTATAAACAATTTTTATTAACCACATTTTTCAAAATAACCAAATTTTAATTTCCCTCTGAATAGTACAGTGCTGTCAATACAAATAAAGAGATTTTTCGATATCTCCACCATTTTCATGTTATCCTTTGTATTAATAATCTTAATTAAGATAAAAAAAAACTGATTATGATTATTTTTTTTGTAGTCCGTTACATATAGCCGTTTTACATAATAACAAAGCCGAAGTACACAATCAATGTTTGTTATTAAAAGCGAGAAAATTTTCGGTGGATGTCCCGAATAACCAAGGAAACACCCCGTTGCATTTAGCCGTTTTAAACGAATCCGATATCGAGATAATTAAAGTGTTATTAGCGAACGGGGCCGATCCTTTAATGAAAGACGGAAACGGAAATACTTCGTTGCACAACGCGATTCATTCAAACGAAGACGAACAAATCCTTCAAATCCTTTTAAACCACTTAAAAAAGACCGAGGAAAACGTCGATGTCTTTAATTACGAGGGATTCACCCCGTTGATGTTGTGCGTTATCGAGGATAAACATAAAATGGCCATGAATTGCATCGCAGCGGGGGCTAATCCGAATACGAAGGATCAAAAATCGGGGAGGACCTCGTTATTTCATGCGGTTGAAAATAATAATCGTAAGTTGTCTTAATTTAGTTTAATTAAAAAAAAATTAAGTTGATTTTTGATGTTTTTAGTGCAAATGGTGAAATTGTTTATGAGAACGGGGGCTAATACTAAAATAAAGAACTTTTTTGGGACGAGTACTCACGAGGCAACTTTCGAACTTGAAAGTATTAACCCAGAAATAAAAACTTTAATCATAGGAAAAGAAATAAACGGAAATCGGACTCGAATCGCCATCGCAAAGAAGAAAAAGAAAGTCCAACAAACCAAGTCAATCGAGTTACCGACGTTTAAAAATAAATTAAAGACCGTGAGGATATTGAAAATCATCGAGAAAGATATTCGAAAATAAAAATCAAATTTTAATTGATTAAAACTATGGTACATTAATAAAATTATTATTTAGGTTGGTTGTAATGAATTAAAAATATTAAAATAAAATTTATTTCACAAATAAATAAAACCACAAAAGGTTTGAAATAGATTTTTGATCAATTATAACCAAAAAATTTCAAATATCCCAAAAATCCAACAAAATATTTTTATGGTTTTAACATTAAATTCGTAATTATGATTAAAAATGCTTTAATTTGATACCAAACATGATATATTTGGGTTTAAAAATAAAAAAGTTAGGTTAATAACTGTCAAATGTCAAAATTATATATAACGACTTTTTGATAAATACTAAAATGATCTTAATAAGAATCAAAAATGCTTTAATTTGATACCAAACATGATATATTTCGATTTAAAAATAAAAAAGTTAGGTTAATAACTGTCAAATGTCAAAATTAAATACAACGATTTTTGATGAATATTGAAACTATCTTAATAAGAATCAAAAATGCTTTAATTTGATACCAAACACGATATATTTGAGTTTAAAAATAAAAAAGTTAGGTTATAAACTGTCAAATGTCAAATAATCGCCATTTTGTTTTGGTAAAAATTAAGATATCTCGACATCGGTTAGAGATAAACAAGTCGAGTTTGGGTTCATTTTAAAGCATTTTTAATTTTCTGTCCATTATTATTATCGTTGTTTTTAATTTTGACATTTGACAGTTTCTAACCTAACTTTTCTATACTCGGAGCCGAACCCTAGCTCAACTTATTTATCTCCAACCTATATCGAGATATCTTAACTTTTAACAAAAAAAATGGCGATTATTTGAAATTTGACAGTTTCTAACCTAACTTTATTTCTTAACCCAAATATACAATGTTGAAACATTGAAATTATTGTAATAAGAATCAAAAATGCTTTCATTTGATACCAAACACAACATACTTGGGTTAAAAAATAAAACAATTGGGTTAATAACTGTCAAATGTCAAAATTAAATATAACAATGTTTTGACAAATATTGAAATGATCATAATAAGAATCAAAAATGTTTTAATTTGATACCAAACACGATATATTTGGGTTAAAAAATAAAAAAGTTAGGTTAATAACTGTCAAATGTCAAAATTAAACAACAATTTTTTGATAAATATTAAAATGATCTTAATAAGAATCAAAAATGCTTTAATTTGATACCAAACATGATATATTTGGGTTTAAAAATAAAAAAGTTAGGTTAATAACTGTCAAATGTCAAAATTAAATATAACGATTTTTGATGAATATTGAAACGATCTTAATAAGAATCAAAAATGCTTTAATTTGATACCAAACACGATATATTTGGGTTTAAAAATAAAAAAGTTAGGTTACAAACTGTCAAATAATCGCCATTTTGTTTTGGTAAAAATTAAGATATCTCGACATCGGTTAGAGATAAACAAGTCGAGTTTGGGTTCATTTTAAAGCATTTTTAATTTTCTGGCTATTTATGTTAAAAAAAGAACATGTTTATAACCAAAAAATTTTTTTTTCGTTGTTTTTAATTTTGACATTTGACAGTTTCTAACGTTTAACCCAAATATATCGTGTTTGATATGAAATGAAAGCAATTTTGACGGGTTTTACGGTGATTATTAGTAGAAATAAAATTAAAACTAGAAACTTGGAGGTTATGCCGCGCGTCTCGACTCGCGGCATAACCTCACAATTTCTAGTTTTAATTTTATTTCTAACATTTATAGAGTTGCATAATGTAATATAGGAGAATATATATTAATTTTGACGTTTGACAGTTTCTAACCTAACTTTTTTATTTTTTAACCCAAAAAATATATTATGTTGAAACGTTGAAATGATCTTAATAAGAATCAAAAATGCTTTCATTTGATACCAAACACGTCATACTTGGGTTCAAAAATAAAAAAGTTAGATTAATAACTGTCAAATGTCAAAATGAAATATAACGATTTTTTGATAAACATTGAAACGATCTTAATAAGAATCAAAAATGCTTTAATTTGATACCAAACACGATATATTTGGGTTTAAAAATAAAAAAGTTAGGTTACAAACTGTCAAATAATCGCCATTTTGTTTTGGTAAAAATTAAGATATCTCGACATCGGTTAGAGATAAACAAGTCGAGTTTGGGTTCATTTTAAAGCATTTTTAATTTTCTAGCTATTTATGTTAAAAAAAGAACATGTTTATAACCAAAAAAATTTTTTTTCATTGTTTTTAATTTTGACATTTGACAGTTTCTAACCTAACTTTTCTATGGTCGGAGCCGAACCCCAGCTCAACTTATTTATCTTCAACCTTTATCGAGATATCTTAAGTTTTAGCAAAAAAAATGGCGATTATTTGAAATTTGACAATTTCTATCTATTCTTTTTATTTCTTAACCCAAATATACAATGTTGAAACATTGAAAATATCTTAATAAGAATCAAAAATGCTTTCATTTGATACCAAACACATCATACTTGGGTTAAAAAATAAAACAATTGGGTTAATAACTGTCAAATGTCAAAATTAAATATAACAATCTTTGACAAATATTGAAATGATCATAATAAGAATCAAAAATGCTTTAATTTGATACCAAACATGATATATTTGGGTTTAAAAATAAAAAAGTTAGGTTAATAACTGTCAAATGTCAAAATTAAATATAACGATTTTTGATGAATATTGAAACGATCTTAATAAGAATCAAAAATGCTTTAATTTGATACCAAACACGATATATTTGGGTTTAAAAATAAAAAAGTTAGGTTACAAACTGTCAAATAATCGCCATTTTGTTTTGGTAAAAATTAAGATATCTCGACATCGGTTAGAGATAAACAAGTCGAGTTTGGGTTCATTTTAAAGCATTTTTAATTTTCTGGCTATTTATGTTAAAAAAAGAACATGTTTATAACCAAAAAATTTTTTTTTCGTTGTTTTTAATTTTGACATTTGACAGTTTCTAACGTTTAACCCAAATATATCGTGTTTGATATGAAATGAAAGCAATTTTGACGGGTTTTACGGTGATTATTAGTAGAAATAAAATTAAAACTAGAAACTTGGAGGTTATGCCGCGCGTCTCGACTCGCGGCATAACCTCACAATTTCTAGTTTTAATTTTATTTCTAACATTTATAGAGTTGCATAATGTAATATAGGAGAATATATATTAATTTTGACGTTTGACAGTTTCTAACCTAACTTTTTTATTTTTTAACCCAAAAAATATATTATGTTGAAACGTTGAAATGATCTTAATAAGAATCAAAAATGCTTTCATTTGATACCAAACACGTCATACTTGGGTTCAAAAATAAAAAAGTTAGATTAATAACTGTCAAATGTCAAAATGAAATATAACGATTTTTTGATAAACATTGAAACGATCTTAATAAGAATCAAAAATGCTTTAATTTGATACCAAACACGATATATTTGGGTTTAAAAATAAAAAAGTTAGGTTACAAACTGTCAAATGTCAAAATGAAATATAACGATTTTTTGATAAACATTGAAACGATTAATAAGAATCAAAAATGCTTTAATTTGATACCAAACATGATATATTTGGATTTAAGAATTAAAAAGTTAGGTTAATAACCTGTCAAATGTCAAAATTAAATATAACGACTTTTGATGAATATTGAAACGATCTTAATAAGAATCAAAAATGCTTTAATTTGATACCAAACACGATATATTTGGATTTAAAAATAAAAAAGTTAGGTTACAAACTGTCAAATAATCGCCATTTTGTTTTGGTAAAAATTAAGATATCTCGACATCGGTTAGAGATAAACAAGTCGAGTTTGGGTTCATTTTAAAGCATTTTTAATTTTCTGTCCATTATTATTATCGTTGTTTTTAATTTTGACATTTGACAGTTTCTAACCTAACTTTTCTATGCTCGGAGCCGAACCCCAGCTCAATTTATTTATCTCCAACCTATATCGAGATATCTTAACTTTTAACAAAAAAAATGGCGATTATTTGAAATTTGACAGTTTCTAACCTAACTTTATAACTTTTTATTTCTTAACCCAAATATACAATGTTTAAACATTGAAATTATCTTAAGAATCAAAAATGCTTTAATTTGATATCAAACACAACATACTTGGGTTAAAAAATAAAACAATTGGGTTAATAACTGTCAAATGTCAAAATTAAATATAACAATTTTTTGACAAATATTGAAATGATCATAATAAGAATCAAAAATGCTTTAATTTGATACCGAACACATCATACTTGGGTTAAAAAATAAAACAATTGGGTTAATAACTGTCAAATGTCAAAATTAAATATAACAATTTTTTGACAAATATTGAAATGATCATAATAAGAATCAAAAATGCTTTAATTTGATACCGAACACATCATACTTGGGTTAAAAAATAAAACAATTGGGTTAATAACTGTCAAATGTCAAAATTAAATATAACAATCTTTGACAAATATTGAAATGATCATAATAAGAATCAAAAATGCTTTAATTTGATACCAAACATGATATATTTGGGTTTAAAAATAAAAAAGTTAGGTTAATAACTGTCAAATGTCAAAATTAAATATAACGTTTTTTTGATAAATATCGAAATGATCTTAATAAGAATCAAAAATGCTTTAATTTGATACCAAACATGATATATTTGGGTTAAAAAATAAAAAAGTTAGGTTAGAAACTGTCAAATGTCAAAATTAAATATAACGATTTTTTGATAAATATTGAAATGATCTTAATAAGAATCAAAAATGCTTTAATTTGATACCAAACATGATATATTTGGGTTAAAAAATAAAAAAGTTAGGTTAGAAACTGTCAAATGTCAAAATTAAATATAACGATTTTTTGATAAATATTGAAATGATCTTAATAAGAATCAAAAATGCTTTAATTTGATACCAAACATGATATATTTGGGTTAAAAAATAAAAAAGTTAGGTTAGAAACTGTCAAATGTCAAAATTAAATGTAACGATTTTTTGATAAATATTGAAATGATCTTAATAAGAATCAAAAATGCTTTAATTTGATACCAAACACGATATCTTTGGGTTAAAAAATGAAAAAGCTAGGTTATATGTAACTGTCAAATTTCAAATAATCGCCATTTTTTTTTGTTAAAAATTAAGATATCTCGATAACGGTTAGAGATAAATAGATCGAGTTTGGGTTCATTTTAAAACATTTTTAATTTTCTACCCGTTTATGTTAAAAAAGAACACCCTTATGATCAAAAATTTTTTTTCGTTATAAAATTGTTATATTTAATTTTGTCATTTGACAGTTTATAACCTAACCTGTTTATTTTTTAACCCAAATATATCATGTTTGGTATCAAATGAAAGCAATTTTGACGGGTCTTACGATGATTGTTAGTAGAAATAAAATTAAAACTAGAAACTTGGAGGTTATGCCGCGCGTCTCGACTCGCGGCATAACCTCACAATTTCTAGTTTTAATTTTATTTCTAACATTTATAGAGTTGCATAATGTAATATAGGAGAATATATATTAATTTTGACGTTTGACAGTTTCTAACCTAACTTTTTTATTTTTTAACCCAAAAAATATATTATGTTGAAACGTTGAAATGATCTTAATAAGAATCAAAAATGCTTTCATTTGATACCAAACACGTCATACTTGGGTTCAAAAATAAAAAAGTTAGATTAATAACTGTCAAATGTCAAAATGAAATATAACGATTTTTTGATGAATATTGAAACGATCTTAATAAGAATCAAAAATGCTTTAATTTGATACCAAACACGATATATTTGGGTTTAAAAATAAAAAAGTTAGGTTACAAACTGTCAAATGTCAAATAATCGCCATTTTGTTTTAGTAAAAATTAAGATATCTCGACAACGGTTAGAGATAAACAAGTCGAGTTTGGGTTCATTTTAAAGCATTTTTAATTTTCTGTCCAATTATATTAAAAAAAGAACTTGTTTATAACTAAAAAATTCGATTTCTGATAAACTTTAACCAAAATATTTTAAATATCTCAAAAACCCAACAATTTTTTTTACGATTTTAACATTAAATTCGTTTTCCCGATTAAAAACGCTTTAATTTAACACCAAACTCGATATATTTAGCAAAAATTAAGATACATATCTCAATTTTTTGAGATAAATCCACAAATTTTATCAGAAACATATCGTGTTTAGTATCAAATTAAAGCATTTTTAATCCCGATTACGAATTTTGAAATTGTTTTCAAAAAAAAGGGCAGATATAAAAACTTTGATCATAGGAAAAGAAATAAATGGAAACCGGGTTCGAGTAGCCATCGCTAAGAAGAAAAAGAAAGTCCAACAAACCAAATCAATCGAGTTACCAACGTTTAAAAATAAATTAAAGACCATGCGGATGTTGAAAATCATCGAGAAAGATATTCGAAAATAAAAATCAAATTTTAATTGACTAAAACTATGATACATTAATAAAATTAGTATTATTTTTAGGTTGGTTGTAATGAATTACAAATATTAAAATAAAATTTATTTCACAAATAAATAAAACCACAAAACCAAATTAATTCTAACCACAACAAAACAAAACAAAAAAGTCATTATTACAAAATAATTAATTTTAAAAAGAAATAAACGGCGCTTAACTGTATAAACCGATTGGCCCAATAAAACCAATTCAATTTAACCCTGGCTTTGGGTAAACTCGACAAATCATCCTTTAAAACATACTGTCGTATCCCCAACATAAAATCTTTTATATACGGGTCCCAATTAAATCCGTTTTCGCGTCTTATATCAATATTGAATCGATTCCCATCTTCCGCGCTATCCACGGCTCCAACTAAATCCTTTATGTTCGAGGTGTGGAAATTCCATTCGTGTAATGCGAAAAATTCGCCTGTTTTGCAAGCTCGTTCGAATTTTTTTGAAATCTTATACATTCTAATAAATAATTAAATATTATTTAATTAATACATCTTTGTTTATCGTTTGTTAATCAATTAATTAACTTACATCGGTTTCCTTTTGGTGCAATAAAGGATTAAATCGAAAATACACGCCGGAACTCGTTGTAATAAAACGGCGTAAATCCAATGTACGATTCGATTGGTTCGATATGAAAATCCGGGGTACCAGCTTAAATATTTCGTGGGGTATTGTCTGGCGTAAGTTTGCGTCAAGTGCCCGATTTCTTTCCATAAAACTTTGTTGATTTGGCCGCTTGTGCAGTTGTAAACGCGCATTGAATTCGAACGATACGCCACGGTGTGCCAAGCCGCTGTCACCAAAGTATTCGCCACGACGTCCACCGGGATCAAATCCATCACGTTCTTTTCGTCGGCGATTATGCTTTTTATGCTTCCACGCCCGATTTCCATCATGATTCCGGTTATTCCTGATATGTTATCGACCCAACCTGGAAAAGGTTCCTGCCAGGCGGCGGTAACTAAAAAAAATTGATTTAAATTGTAATCTACATCAAATTTGCTTTAATTTGATACCAAACACGATATATTTACAACAAAATTAAACAAAAGTATCTCAAATTCTTGAGATATCATTGATTTGAAATTAAATTCTTAATCGGGATTAAAAATGCTTTAATTTGATACCAAACACGATATAGTTCCGATAAAAATTAAAATTGAGATATATTTTTTGAGATAAATCCATAAATTTTGAGATAAATACATCGAGTTTGGTATCGTTTTAAAGCATTTTTAATTTTAATTGACATAAATTTGATTGAAATCGATTTTTGATAAAATTTAATTAAAAAGTGTCGAATATCTCAAAAACCCAACAAAAAAGTTTTATGGTTTTAACATTAAATTCGTAATTATGATTAAAAATGCTTTAATTTGATACCAAACACCGTATATCTAAGACATAAATGAAAATTGAGATACATCGAGATATATATCATACTTTTTTGAGATACAACCCCAATAATTGACAGAAATACATCGAGTTTGGTATCATTTTGAAGCATTTTTAATTTTAATTACATAAAATTAAAGTTAAAATCGATTTCTGTTAAATTTTAACTAAAAAATTTCAAATATCTCAAAAATCTAACGATTTTTTTACGATTTTAACATTAAATTCGTAATCGTAGCAAAAAATGCTTTAATTTGATACCAAACACCATATAGTTAAGACAAAAATAGAAATTGAGATAGATCAAGATATATATCATACTTTTTTGAGATACAACCCCAATAATTGACAGAAATACATCGAGTTTGGTATCATTTTAAAGCGTTTTTAAATGTGATTACATTAAATTAAGGTTAAAATCGATTTCTGATTAATTTCAATCAAAAAATTTCAAATATCTCAAAGACCTAACGAAAATTTGTTATGGTTTTAACATTAAATACGTAATCGGGATTAAAAATGCTTGAATTTGATACCAAACTTGATATATATCCGACAAAAAAATAAAAATTGAGATATATATCTTAATTTTTTGAGATACAACCTTAATAATTAACAGAAATACACCGAGTTTGGTATCGTCTTAAAGCAGTTTTAATTTTAATTATCATAAATGTGGATTGAAAACGATTTTTGATAAAATTTGATTAAAAAAGTTTCAAATATGTCAAAAATCCAATGAATTTTTTTACAATTTTAACGCTAAATTCGTAATCGTGATAAAAAATCCTTTAATTTGACACCAAACACGATATATTTCTGACAAAAAATAATAAATTGAGATATATCAAGATATATATCATATTTTTTGAGATACATTAATCAAAATTAACAGAAATATATCGAGTTTGGTATCGTTTTAAAGCATTATTAATTTTAATGACCTTTAATTAAGGTTGAAATTGATTTCTGATAAATTTTAACTAAAAAATTTCAAATATCTCAAAAACCCAACGACATTTTTTTACGACTTTAACATCAACTTCATAATCGGGGTTAAAAATGCTTTAATTTGATACCAAACACCGTATATTTAGAACAAAAATAAAAATTAAGATATGTCAAGATATATATCATACCTTTTTGAGATACTTTCTCAATAATTAACAGAAATACATCGAGTTTGGTGTCATTTTAAAGCATTTTTAATTTTGATTGCAGTAAATTAAGGTTAAAATCGATTTTAACTAAAAAATTTCAAATATTTCAAAAAGTTGTTAGAAATTTATCATTGAAGTGATCTTAACAAGAATCAAAAATGCTTTTATTTGATACCAAACATGATATATTTGAGTTAAAAAATAAAAAAGTTAGGTTAGGAACTGTCAAATGTCAGAATTAAATATAACGATTTTTGATAAATATTGAAATGATCTTAATAAGAATCAAAAATGCTTTAATTTGATACCAAACATGATATATTTGGGTTAAAAACTAAAAAAGTTGGATTAATAACTGTCAAATGTCAAAATTAAATATAACGATTTTTGATAAATATTAAAATGATCTTAATAAGAATGAAAAATGCTTTAATTTAATACCAAACATGATATATTTGGGTTAAAAAACAAAAAAAGTTGGGTTATAAACTGTCAAATAATCGCCATTTTTTTTTGTAAAAATTAAGATATCTCGACAACGGTTAGAGATAAACAAGTCGAGTTTGGGTTCATTTTAAAGCATTATTAATTTTGATTCTATTAAATTAAGGTTGAAATCGATTTCTGATAAATTTTAACTAAAAAATTTCATATATCTCTAAAACCTAACCAAATTTTTTTACGACATTAACATCAACTTCGTAATCGGGGTTAAAAATGCTTTAATTTGATACCAAACATGATATATTTGTGTTAAAAACTAAAAAGTTGGATTAATAACTGTCAAATGTCAAAATTAAATATAACGATTTTTGATAAATATTGAAATAATCTTAATAAGAATCAAAAATGCTTTAATTTGATACCAAACATGATATATTTAGGTTTAAAAATAAAAAAGTTAGGTTACAAACTGTCATATGTCAAATAATCGCCATTTTTTTTTTGGTAAAAATTAAGATATCTCGACAACGGTTAGAGATAAATAAGTCGAGTTTGGGTTCATTTTAAAGCATTTTTAATTTTGTATGCATTTTTTAAAAAAGAACACGTTTATAACCAAAAATTTTTTTTCATTGTATTTAATTTCACATTTGACAGTTTCTAACATAAGTTTAACCCAAATATATCGTGTTTGATATGAAATGAAAGCAATTTTGACGGATTTTACGGTGATTGTTAGTAGAAATAAAAAAGTTAGGTTAATAACTGTCAAATGTCAAATAATCGCCATTTTTATAAGAGATATAAGAGATAAACAAGTCGAGTTTGGGTTCATTTTAAAGCATTTTTAATTTTGATTCTATTAAATTAAGGTTACAATCGATTTTTGATAAATTTTAATCAAAAAAATTTGTTATGGTTTTAACATTAAATTCGTTATCTGGATAAAAATGATTTAATTCAACACCAAACTCGATATATTTCCAACAAAAATAAAAATTGAGATACATATCTTAATTTTTTGAGATAAATCCACAAATTTAATCAGAAACATGTCGTGTTTGGTATCAAATTAAAGCATTTTCAACCCCGATTACGAATTTTGAATCAAATTTCGCTTCAATTTAAGTTTTCTCACCTATAGATGGCCTAACGATCGCAATAGGAAGTTTGGCCGAATATTCCCAAACGATAAATTCCGCCATCGCTTTCGTAAAAGTGTAGGTATTCGGATGATCGCCCATAACCTCCTTTTCTAGCGTTTTCAAAGCGGCTTCGGGTAAAAATTCAATGCAATTAATCAACGATCTAGGATCGAAGGGCGGTTTATAAACGGTTTCTTCCACGTCGTTTTTATCCGCGTTACTGTACGCGGTCGAAACGTGTACGAAACTTTGCAAATTTTTTATTTCGGCTCCAAACTCCAAGACGCGCTTCGTGCCCAAAGTGTTCAAAACGACGGCCGTTTTAAAATCTTCGTTAAAACGGACCGTTGCGGCCGAATGGAAAATCATCGTTAATTTTTCGGCGAGTTTTTCACGGTCGATCTCGGATATTCCGAGATTGTGCTGAGATACGTCGCCCTCGATGATTTTTATTTTATTTAAGACTTCCGGATTTGTTTCTTTGATTTTATTAAAAACCTTTTTTGGAAATAAAAGTTGTTTTAATAATTATTTGGGATGTTAAGTGTTAGATAAAAGCCGGATTAGCATAGATTTCACTTCGAGAGAAATTCTCCGTCTCGTTTTCTAAAGATAAATTTTCTAATTTACTTTCATTTAGTTATATTTTTTTCTTTTTTTTTTGGAAAAATGATTTTTAATTTTTACTTTACGTTTTAATAACTTAATAAATATTCATTGGATATTAACTCACCGGGTTTTTGAGGAGCTCTTTCAATCTTTGTTCACACCCCATCCCCCTTTTAGGCCTAATTAATAAATAAACGCTATCGATATCGTCGCAAGACCTCAATAATTTCTCTAAAAGGGCTTTCCCAACGAACCCCGTCGAGCCGGTTATAAAAATAGAGGCGTCTTTATAAAAATGTCCAATGTTATTTGTTATTACGTCCCTGATGATGGTGTTGTTGTTTTTTAATTTAGCACCGGTGAAATAAATGTCTTCTTTGATGTTTAACCCCATCGTTGAATTTGATTCTTAAGAATTTCGTGAAAGGTTTTAAACTCCAACAAGAACGCCAACCCTGGAAAACCCAACAACATCTACTGAAACATGGCTTTTCCGTTTCGATCGGCGACGACGTCGACGGAGAAAGTGGCAGATGCACTTTCAATATTGTATGAGAGGAAAGGGTCAATTTAACGCACGCCATAAAACAAAATAGATAAAAATCGATTCAAAAATAATCTTTTTTTCAATTTAATTTGCTTGATTCAAAAAGAAAATCGAATTTGGTTAATTTTAACACCAAACACGACGTATTTGCGATAAAAATTAAAATTGAGATGTATATATCTTAATTTTTTGAGATACAACCTTAATAATTAACAAAAATTCACCGATTTTTAATCTTAATTGTTATAAATTTGAGTTAAAATCGGTTTTTTTAAATTTCAACAACAAAATTTATCTCAAAATTTTGAGATATTATTGATTTGATATTAAATTCGTAATCACGATTAAAAATGCTTTAATTTGATACCAAACACGACATATTTCCGATAAAAATAAAAATTGAGATAAATAGAGATCTATCTTTTAATTTTTTGAGATAAATCCACAAATTTTGGCAGAAATATATCGTGTTTGGTATCGTTTTAAAGCATTTTTAATTTTGATTGCATTAAATTAAGGTTGAAATCGAAATCTGATCAATTTTAGCAACAAAATTTAAAAAATGTATCTCAAATTTCTGAGATATTATTGATTTGATATTAAATTCGTAATCGTGATTAAAAATGCTTTAATTTGATACCAAACACGACATATTTCTGACAAAAAATAATAAATTGAGATATATCAAGATATATATCATATATTTTTAAGATACATTAATCGTAATTAACAGAAATATATCGAGTTTGGTATCATTTTAAAGCATTTTTAATTTTTATTACTTTAAATTAAGGTTAAAATCGATTTTTGATAAAATTTAATCATAAAGTTTAGAGATATCTCAAAAATTCAACGAAAATCTTTACGTTTTTAACTCTAAATTCGTAATCGTGATTAAAAATGCTTTAATTTAATACCAAACACGATATATTTCCGCTAAAAAATAAACATCGAGATATATATCTTAATTTTTTGAGATACAACCTTAATAATTAACAGAAATACACCGACTTTGGTATCATTTTAAAGCATTTTTAATTTTAATTGTCACAAATTCGGGTTAAAATCGATATTTGATAAAATTTAATAAAAAAATTTAAAATATCTCAAAGATAAAAAGGATTTTTTTGCGATTTTAACACTAAATTCGTAATCATGATTAAAAATACTTTAATTTGATACCAAACATGATATATTTCCAATAAAAATGAAAATTGAGATACATCAAGATATATATCATGATTATTTGAGATACAATAATCAAAATTAACAGAAATATATCGAGTTTGGTATCATTTTAAAGCATTTTTAATTTTGATTACATTAAATTGAGGCTGAAATCGATTTCTGATCAATTTTAATTAATGAGTTACAAATATCTCAAAAATTCAACCAAATTTTTTTATGATTTTCACTTAAAATTCGTAATAGGAGTTAAAAATGCTTTAATTTGACACCAAACTCAATATATTTTAAACAAAAATCAAAATTGAGATACATCAAGATATATATCATGATTATTTGAGATACAATAATTAAAATTAACAGAAATACATCGAGTTTGGTATCATTTTAAAGCATTTTTAATTTTGAATACATTAAATTGAGGTTGAAATCGATTTCTGATCAATTTTAATCGAAAAGATTCAAATATTTCAAAAATCCAACAATAATTATTTACGATTTTAACATTAAATTCGTAATCGTGATTAAAAATGCTTTAATTTGATACCAAACTCGATATATTTCCGACAAAAACAAAGAAATGGTGAAAAATTTTTAAAAAAATGAAATTCGAAAAAAAGATGGCGGCCGAAAAACTGCAAAGTGATATATCCGGGTTGTTTTTTGAGATAAATACGTCGAGTTTGGTGTCAAATTTTAAGTTTTTCAAAAATATAATTGAAAATAATAAAATTTATTTAAAAAAATTAATTGTATTTTTTCTTAATTAATTGAAAGATAAAAAAAAATCGATTTATCTTAATTGATTCAAAAATAAAATCAAATTTGGATCATTTTGACACCAAACACGATGTGTTTATGTTTAAAAACAAAAAAGTTGGGGAAAAATTAAAAAGAAAAAATGAAAATCGAAAAAAAGATGGCGGCTGAAAAACTGTAAAGTGATATACCCAGGTTGTTTTTTAAGATAAATACGTCGAGTTTGGTATCAAACTTTAAGTTTTTCAAAAATCTAATTGAAAATAATAAAATTTGTTTAAAAAAATTAATTTTAATTTTTCTAATTAATTAAAAAATAAAAAAAAATCGATTTATTTTAATTGATTCAAAAATAAAATCAAATTTGGATCATTTTGACACCAAACACGATGTGTTTATGTTTAAAAACAAAAAAGTTGGGGTAAAATTAAAAAAAAAAAATGAAAATCGAAAAAAAGATGGCGGCCGAAAAACTGTAAAGTGATATATCCGGGTTGTTTTTTAAGATAAATACGTCGAGTTTGGTATCAAACTTTAAGTTTTACAAAAATTTAATTGAAAATAATAAAATTTGTTTAAAAAAGATCATTTTGAAAAAAAAAGAAACTAAAAAATCGATTTAACGAGATTAATGTAACGCGGAAGATGTAAATTAATTAATTTTTAATAGTTTTTGTGCTCTAGGAAAGTTTTTGAACATAAACTTAGTATCTGGGACAACGTACTCGAGGCGTTTTGACATTCACCTTTCCTCTTTTCTTAGTGTTATGGTGTGCGATCGTGAACTTTCTTCGTTATATTTTACGGGTGATGACCCAAATAAAGATTGACCAAATTTTTTCATTCAACACATAAATAACAAACGAGAGCATAAAGATTAAATTAGACTTTAAAGTTATTTCCTTCTACATCATTTACCTCGTTCGCAACTAGAGCAAGAAAACCAGAGGCAATGATAATTATTTAAAAAAAAAATCAACTATTCGAACGCCATAACCTTGTTCTTGACTATTTCTGCACGTTCTGATCGCCTTTTACCAACAACTACACGCAAATAAATGCTAATTTTCATTGTATTTAGATTTTTCTGGTTCAATTAGAACCGATTAAAAAATTGAATGAATTAAAAATTAATAAAAACGTAAATACTTACCTAAAATTAATTAATTAAAAGAATTTTCTTCGATTAAAAATTAAATATAACCTCACTGATTTAAAAATAATCCATTTTTTTTTATCTTGACAAATCTTAACCCGACAACTTAAACACTTTAAATGAGACTAAAACCAAGTTTTCCAAGTTGAGTCTCTCGGGGGCCGGCAAAGTCGAGAAAGTAGGAAGTCTCTCAACAGTTTCGATTGCATAATGTACGTTCGATCCTTTTTATTTATTCCTCAAAAAGGAGATTCAACCCCCACCTCCCCCCTCCAACCCCCCCGATTAATTCTTTTTACACCGCCGAACATACAATAAAAAATAAATTAAACAACGTCTATTATTTATTTAATTTAAAATTAATTTTTGCGGTTTTGCTCAAAAAAAATGATGTCAAATTTTATTGCCTTAACGTTATTAAATAATGTAATTAAAAGAATAATTTTTTTTTATTGGTTTTAGTAAATTGAGGGGTTATTAATTTTTGGGTGATTTGTTACGTAATTTTGTGAAGAAAACACTCAAAAAGAAATGGGAACAACAATTTCGTAAGATTCAGGTTTCTCTTTATGGTGATATAATAATGTAAATATCAATTTTCCTCCTAATTGTTTTTATCATTTTTTTAAATAATTAATTGATAAACCGCAAACGGTTAATCGTAAATAATAAATTGATGGGTTTTAGATTAAAACCGTTGAAACGATCAATAGCGAAGGTAAACGTTAAATACATCATCAATGTCTCATCGTTGTTTTTAACCAGATGTATAACTTATAAGTATTTGTGAGTAAAATTGAATTCTTACCTTTGGTGGTGATTGATTCGGAATGAACGGCATCTGAAACAAATTAAAATCTCAATCAATTAAACGTCACAACGACTAAGAATCAAAAATGCTTTAATTTGATACCAAACATGACGTATATGGGTAAAAAAATAAAAAAATTGGGTTAATAACTGTCAAATGTCAAAATTATATATAACGATTTTTTTAAATCATCTTAATAAGAAACAAAAATGCTTTAATTTGATACCAAACACGATATATTTGGGTTAAAACATGAAAAAGTTAGGTTAAAAACTAAATGTCAAAATTATATATATAACGATTTTTTGATAAATATGAAATGATGTTAATAAGAATCAAAAAATGCTTTAATTTGATACCAAACACGATATATTTGGGTTAAAAAATAAAAAAGTAAGGTTAATAACTGTCAAATGTCAAAATTAAATATAACGATTTTTGATAAATAGTGAAATGGTCTTAATGAGAATCAAAAATGCTTTAATTTGATACCAAACATGATATATTTGGGTTAAAAAATAAAAAAGTTAGGTTAATAACTGTCAAATGTCAAAATTAAATATAACGATTTTTGATAAATAGTGAAATGGTCTTAATGAGAATCAAAAATGCTTTAATTTGATACCAAACACGATATACTTGGGTTAAAAACTAAAAAAGTTAGGTTAATAACTGTCAAAATTAAATAACGATTTTTTGATTAAATGATCTTAATAAGAATCAAAAATGCTTTAATTTAATACCAAACATGATATATTTGGGTTAAAAATAAAAAAAGTTAGGTTATGAACTGTCAAATTACCGCCATTTTTATTTTTTGGTAAAAATGAAGATATCTCGATAACGGTTAGAGATATAAGTCGAGTTTGGGTTCATTTTAAAGCATTTTTAATGTTCTGTCCACTTATATTAAAAAAAGAACACCTTTATAACCACACATTTTTTTTTCGTTATATTTAATTTTGACATTTGACAGTTTATTTAGGTTATAAACTGTCAAATGTTTAACCCACATATATACCTTCAAATTTGTAGTTTTAATTTTATTTCTAACATTCATAGAGTTACATAATGTGATATGGAAGAATATATATTAATTTTGACATTTGACAGTTTCTAACCTCACTTTTTTATTTTTTAACCCAAATGTATCATGTTGAAACATTGAAATGATCTTAATAAGAATCAAAAATGCTTTAATTTGATACCAAACATGATATATTTAGGTTAAAAAATTAAAAAGTTAGGTTAGAAACTGTCAAATGTCAAAACTAAATATAACGATTTTTTGATAAATATTAAAATGATCTTAATAAGAATCAAAAATGCTTTAATTTGATACCAAACATGATATATTTAGGTTAAAAAATTAAAAAGTTAGGTTAGAAACTGTCAAATGTCAAAACTAAATATAACGATTTTTTGATAAATATTAAAATGATCTTAATAAGAATGAAAAATGCTTTAATTTAATACCAAACATGATATATTTGGGTTAAAAAACAAAAAAAGTTGGGTTATAAACTGTCAAATAATCGCCATTTTTATTTTTGGGTAAAAATAAAAATATCTCGATAACGGTTAGAGATAAATAAGTCAAGTTTGGGTTCATTTTAAAGCATTTTTAATTTTCTGTCTACTTATGTAAAAAAAAAACATCTTTATAACCAACAATTTTTTTTTCGTTACATTTAATTTTGACATTTGACAGTTTATAACCTAACTTTAACCGAAATATATCGTGTTTGATATCAAATGAAAGCAATTTTGACGGGTTTTACGACCAAATGTGTATTTTGTTAAACATAATGTAGTTTTTATATACGATATGATCTCAATGTAGCACCTCGGCCACAACATGAGTAAATAACATTTGCTTATATCTTGACTATATTTATACATTTCTTGTGAGATTTCGTCACTTTATGTAGTTGGTAATTAAAAGATTGAGTAAAAATTTAACAACAAAGTGCAAAAACTTTAGCACTATATTTATCATAAATCATAAACATAGAGTCCTCTAAAGGGGAGTAGTTAAACGTTTCTTTCTTACTAAATCCTTCTCGTGCGGGATTTTTGCTTACGTCACACACTTTCTTTCGAAACATTTCATCACTCCGGTAATCCCCAATGATAGAATTTCTTTTTTGTTTCATTCAGTGATTCCTAATTAAGATTAAAAATTCAATTCTTACCTTTTTCGCATTCGAACCGCGCATTAAACTATTAAAAACACATAATAAACACTGTAATCTCACTATATTGTATGTTCTAATTAGTTAAACCGCGATTTTTAATCGATTTATAACCAAATAAATTTTGACACAAAATTATTTTTTGACAGATCAAAAAAAATAATTACATGTCACGCCATCTATGGGTTAAATGACGTAATTCATTACATAATTAAATTTAAATAATTAATTTTTTTTGTTAAAAACGTTACTTATATCCCAAATTTATTAATTAATCGTGATTTTGAATTATTTATTAAAATTCTTTTTTAGAAATTAAGTTTTATGTTGGATTAAGAAAAATTAATTAAAAATTGAAATCGTACCTTTTTCGCAGTCGATCCACGCATGAAACTATTAAACACACATAATAAACACTGTAACCTCACTATATTGTATGTTCTAATTAATTAAAACGCGATTTTTAATCGATTTGTAACCAAATAAGTTTTGACACAAAATCACTTTTTGACAGCTCAAAAAAATAATTACACGTCGCGCCATCTATGGGTTAAATGACGCAATTCATTACATAATTAAATTAAAATAATTAATATTTTTAATTAAAAACGCTATTTAGATCTCAAATTCATTAATAAATCCTCATTTAGAATGATTTATAAAAAATCTTTGTTAAAAATTAAGTTTTATGTTGTGTTAAAAAAAATTGATTAAAAATCGAATTCTTACCTTTTTCGCAATCGAACCGCACATGAAACTATTAAAAACACGTAATAAACACTGTTATCTCACTATATTGTATGTTCTAACTAATTACATCGCGATTTATAACCAAACAAGTTTTGACACAAAATCATTTTTTGACAGCTCAAAAAAAAATAAACATGTCGCGCCATCTATGAGTTAAATGGCGCAATTCATTAGGTGATTAAATTTAAATAATTAATATTTTTAATTAAAAACGCTATTTAGATCTCAAATTCATTAATAAATCCTCATTTAGAATGATTTATAAAAAATCTTTGTTAAAAATTAAGTTTTATGTTGTGTTAAAAAAAATTGATTAAAAATCGAATTCTTACCTTTTTCGCAATCGAACCGCACATGAAACTATTAAAAACACGTAATAAACACTGTTATCTCACTATATTGTATGTTCTAACTAATTACATCGCGATTTATAACCAAACAAGTTTTGACACAAAATCATTTTTTGACAGCTCAAAAAAAAATAAACATGTCGCGCCATCTATGAGTTAAATGGCGCAATTCATTACGTGATTAAATTTAAATAATTAATATTTTTAATTAAAAACGCTATTTAGATCTCAAATTCATTAATAAATCCTCATTTAGAATTATTTATAAAAAAATCTTGGTTAAAAATTAAGTTTTATGTTGGTTTAAAAAAAATTGATTAAAAATTGAATTCTTACTTTTTTCACAATTGATCCACGCATGAAACTATTAAAAACACATAATAAACACTGTAACCTCACTATATTGTATGTTCTAATTAATTAAATCGCGATTTTTAACCAAACAAGTTTTGACACAAAATCATTTTTTGACAGCTCAAAAAAAAATAAACATGTCGCGCCATCTATGAGTTAAATGGCGCAATTCATTACGTGATTAAATTTAAATAATTAATATTTTTAATTAAAAACGCTATTTAGATCTCAAATTCATTAATAAATCCTCATTTAGAATGATTTATAAAAAATCTTTGTTAAAAATTAAGTTTTATATGGGGTGAAAAAAAATTGATTAAAAATTGAATTCTTACTTTTTTCACAATTGATCCACGCATGAAACTATTAAAAACACATAATAACACTGTAACCTCACTATATTGTATGTTCTAATTAATTAAATCGCGATTTTTAATCGATTTATAATCAAAAAAAGTTTGGACACAAAATCAGTTTTTGACAGGTTAAAAATAACAACAACAACTGGTGACATCTATGAGTAAAACCGCGTATTAAATAATTCATTAATAATCAAATTTTTATCTCCTTCGTCATCAAATCTTCTCGAAAATCGTTAAAGATTCTAAAATTATTTAAAATTGTGTACTATTTTATTAATATTTCTTTTAGAAATGCTAAAAATCATTAAAAACTGTCAATAAATTTTTGACAACTAAAAATAACAGCGCCATCTAACAACGAAACTCTAAAATAAAGATAATTATTAAAAAAATCGTTTTAATTATTTGTTAAAACACTTTAAAGTCCTTAAATTAATACATAAATCTGTATAAATTAATCTTACATAAAAAAATTAATGATAAATACAATAATAAATCTCACTTAACTTTTACCAACATGATTTTGTACAATATGCCTGGTTAAAGAACTAACAAATTTATAACTCGACCCACAAATCGTACAATTATACAAATTCCCCTCTCCATTATGAATAACTTCGTGCCGAATTAAATTAGAATGTCTTGAAAATTGCCTCCCGCAAGTTTCGCAATAAAAAAATTTATCACTTCCGGACCCATGAACCCTCTTTTTATGCTCATTCAACTCAGAAATCGATTTAAAATTCATCGTGCATTGAAAACAAACAAAAAACAAATCGCTCTTTTCATTCCCCGACTTCATTTTACCGTTTAAATCAAACGGAAATTGTTCCAAATGGTCATTAGAGGCATGCTTTAACAACAAATTTTGATTTTTAAAACTTTTCGAGCAAATCCCGCACACAAACGGCGAAGATTTCTCAATCTTTTCATCCAAAAACGTAACTTTCGTCGACACCTTTTCTTTATCACCCAATTTCGTTATATTTAACGCAATAATTAGCGAAGTTTTTTGATCAAACCCCAAATTAGTTCCTAAATTAAACCGATAAAACTTTTCGTTATTCTCATTTACATATTCGATTAAAACGCCGTAAAATTCGTTCTTTTTGATCGTTTTCTTTTGATTATCGACGATTTTCTCGATTAATTTAACCTGTAAATTCGTGTTTAACAATTTTTTTTGTAAAGTGGGTAATTCGGCGAGACCGTTTAACGTTTTTGAAATAAAATCAATTTGATTTTGATTAATTTCGGCTTCGTTGAGAACATTTTCGATATCGCCCGTATTAAAATCGATTCTAAAATGATCCGGTTGATTTTGAGGGGTTTGAATGTTTAAAATTCGCCCAACGAGACATTTTCCATTGGGTTTTCGCCCGATTGTGAATTTTTGGTTCAAAAAGTTATTTGATTCTTCCTTTGGGATGATTTCTTCTTGGTTGATTAAATTTTGATCCCCTTTTAATAAATCATCATCGAAAATCACTTGGATGTTATCATCCGGTTTAATAAAATTGATTTGATTTTCAGTGTTAAAGATAACTGATGGCGATTCGATCAAATTAAAATAACTTTTTGGCTTTTTTAGCGCTTTGAAATCATTTTCGTTCAAAATTTCAACTGAATCATCTTCAGAAAGTTGCAAATGAAGTTGCCCATCTTTTATTACAGCATATTGAACCGAACTAAATCAAAAAAACAAAAAAATAATTAAAAATCACTTTTTTGTGTTATTTTTTAACCTTTCCCTTCCACTAACTTGGTTTAAAATCCCCAATTCATCGGTGAATTGCTGTATTCCCTCCAAATTAAATATCTTCCCATTTTCTAGCTTTAATCGTTTACCTCCAACAGAATAAATGAGGTTAGAATTACTTTCAATCTCCTCTTGGACGAATTGAATCGGTTCTTCCTCTAAAAAACGTTACATAACCTCCAAAAACCCCACATTTTACTCATTATTACCGTTATCTTTGATATAAACATCTTGAATCGCGTTATTTCCTTCATCAGGATTCAAAATAACCGCTTCAACTTCATTGGAATGAATATAGTATTGATTTCCGTCCAACAAAACAGTGTTGCCACCACAAATTATCTTAAAAAAGAAATCGTTTTAATCATTTTCCTCCAACGATTTATTTTTTCACTTACATTTTGCAAATCGACTTGTAAATCGTCTTTCTCACCGATTAATGATTCGTTTTCGTTTAACACCAATTCGAAACTGTTCGTTTCCGATTTATTCCGTCGGGTTGAAGTCATCACCTCCTTCGCATAACCTCAAATTGTCGAATCTTAATTTCGCGATTAAATCGCGATAGCGAGCTTTTGAAGCGAAATTGAGTCGATCGCGAGCTTTAAGTTGAAATTTTGAACTGTTCAATCGGTAAATCTTTTAATCGAAAACGTCGTAGTCGTTTCGTCGGTAAGTCAAAACACGAACTGGTTCGAGGTTAGGATTGTAAGAATAAAATTGGGTTTGTTGATAATAGATGGCGCTTAACCTGACAGTTTTTTTTCTAATCAATTAATAAAATTAATTTTTGATTATAAACAAATTAAAATAAATATAAATAAAAAAGAAGTATTTTTAAATGAAATTAATACCACCTAATCGATATTAAGTAATTAAAAGGGGTTAAAAATTTATTTTGAGTTTTTTTGTATACAGCGCCAACACATCAATATGGTACAGGTGCGATCAAAACAAATTAATTTTTTAATTAATTAAATATAACCATTTTTTGATAAATATTAAAATGATGTTTATAAGAATCAAAAATGCTTTCATTTGATACCAAACACGACATACTTAGGTTAGAAAATAAAAAAGTTGGGTTAATAACTGTCAAAATTAAACAACGATTTTTGATAAATATTAACATGATCTTAATAAGAATCAAAAATGCTTTAATTTGGTACCAAACATGATATATTTGGGTTTGAAAATAAAAAAGTTAGGTTAGAAACTGTCAAATAACCGCCATTTTTTTTTGGTAAAAATGAAGATATCTCGATAACGGTTAGAGATAAATAAGTCGAGTTTGGGTTCATTTTAAAGCATTTTTAATTTTCTGTCTATTTATGTTAAAAAAGAAAACCTTTATAACCAAAAATTTTATTTCGTTATTTTTAATTTTGACATTTGACAGTTTATAACCTAACTTTAACCCAAATATCCAAATATGTCGTGTTTGGTGAAAGCAATTTTGACGGGTTTTACGGTGATTGTTTTTCTTAGGAAAATACATATTAATTTTGACATTTGACAGTCTCTAACCTAACTATTTTATGCTCGGAACAAAACCCAACCTCAACTTATTTACTTCCAACTCTTATTGAGATATCTTAACTTTTAGCAAAAAAAGTGGCGATTATTTGAAATATGACAGTTTCTAAGCTAACTTTATAAGTTTTTATTTTTTAACTCAAATATATCATGTTGAAACATTGAAATGATCTTAATAAGAATCAAAAATGCTTTCATTTGATACCAAACATGATATACTTGGGTCAAAAAATAAAAAAGTTGGGTTAATAACTGTCAAATGTCAAAATTAAATCTTTTTTTTTGGGTAAATATTGAAATGATCTTAATAAGAATCAAAGATGCTCTCATTTGATACCAAACGCGATATACTTGGGTTAAAAAATGTAAAAGTTGGGTTAATAACTGTCAAATTTCAAAATTAAACATAATGACTTTTTGATAAATATTAATATGATCTTAATAAGAATCAAAGAAGTTCTTATTTGATACCAAACATGATATTCTTGGGTTAAAAAATGAAAAAGTTAGCTTAATAACTGTCAAATGTCAAAATTAAATATAATGATTTTTGATAAATATTCAAACAATTTTAATAAGAATCAAAAATGCTTTAATTTGATACCAAACACGATATATTTGGGTTAAAAAATAAAAAAGTTAGGTTAATAACTGTCAAATGTCAAAAATAAATACAACGATTTTTTGATAAATATTAAAACGATCTTTATAAGAATCAAAAATGCTTTAATTTGATACCAAACATGATATATTTGGGTTTAAAAATAAAAAAGTTAGGTTACAAATTGTCATATGTCAAAAAATCGCCATTTTTTTTTGGTAAAAATTAAGATATCTCGACAACGGTTAGAGATAAATAAGTCGAGTTTGGGTTCATTTTAAAGCATTTTTAATTTTCTGCCCATTTATGTTAAAAAGAACATGTTTATAACCAAAAAATTTTTTTTTCAGTTTTTAATTTTGACATTTGACAGTTTCTAACCTAATTTTACCCAAATATATCGTGTTTGATATGAAATGAAAGCAATTTCGGGTTTTACGGTGGTTGTTAGTAGAAATAAAATTAAAATTAGAAATTTTGACGTCTCGACGCGCGGCATAACCTCAAAATTTCTAAGTTTAATTTTATTTCTAATATTCATAGAGTTACATAATGTGATATAGAAGAATACATATTAATTTTGACAAAAATAAAAAAAGTAGGGTTAATAACTGTCAAATGTCAAAATTAAATATAACAATTTTTGATAAATATTGAAACGATCTTTATAAGAATCAAAAATGCTTTAATTTGATACCAAACACGATATATTTGGGTTAAAAAATAAAAAAGTTAGGTTAATAACTGTCAAATGTCAAAAATAAATACAACGATTTTTTGATAAATATTAAAACGATCTTTATAAGAATCAAAAATGCTTTAATTTGATACCAAACATGATATATTTGGGTTTAAAAATAAAAAAGTTAGGTTACAAATTGTCATATGTCAAAAAATCGCCATTTTTTTTTGGTAAAAATTAAGATATCTCGACAACGGTTAGAGATAAATAAGTCGAGTTTGGGTTCATTTTAAAGCATTTTTAATTTTCTGCCCATTTATGTTAAAAAGAACATGTTTATAACCAAAAAATTTTTTTTTCAGTTTTTAATTTTGACATTTGACAGTTTCTAACCTAATTTTACCCAAATATATCGTGTTTGATATGAAATGAAAGCAATTTCGGGTTTTACGGTGGTTGTTAGTAGAAATAAAATTAAAATTAGAAATTTTGACGTCTCGACGCGCGGCATAACCTCAAAATTTCTAAGTTTAATTTTATTTCTAATATTCATAGAGTTACATAATGTGATATAGAAGAATACATATTAATTTTGACAAAAATAAAAAAAGTAGGGTTAATAACTGTCAAATGTCAAAATTAAATATAACAATTTTTGATAAATATTGAAACGATCTTTATAAGAATCAAAAATGCTTTAATTTGATACCAAACACGATATATTTAGATTAAAAAATAAAAAAAGTTAGGTTATAAACTGTCAAATAACCGCCATTTTTTTTTGGTAAAAATTAAGATATCTCGACAACGGTTAGAGATAAATAAGTCGAGTTTGGGTTCATTTTAAAGCATTTTTAATTTCCTATCCACTTATGTTAAAAAAGGTGCGATCAAAACAAATTAATTTTTTTTTAAACGTTTTTATTGAGAAAATGCAAAGTGATGTTTATAAATGAAACAAAAAAATAGTAAATAAAATAAATCCCAGTACTTTTTTTAACTTATCATCAATAATATCAATCTTTTTATCATCACTTCTAATCAATCAATGACCTTTTTAACCTTGCAACTTATAAACCCTCGTGCAAATGACATCATCGACCTTCAAAACCTTGAATCAAAAAAATAAAGTTAATTTTTAAAATTTCTTTGATTAATTTATTTACCATTTTGATCTCTTGATCGGAAAATGTGCGTTCAATGGTGGAAACTTTCCCGTTTTGATCGGTTTGAACTTCAGTTATGGTATCGCCGGCGATGGTGATGATGCTTTTGACTTTGCGGCCGTCGGCGGTTTCGTCGTCGAATTCAACTCCGGGTTGGAATTTGGTGGTCATGTTTTTGAAGGTGGATGTTGAGGTTAAAACGTAGGTGTCGCCCTCTTTTTTCAATTCGACAACGGGGGAGACGGTCGCTCCGACTTTTCTAGTCATTAACCCGACACCTTAAAAACGATTTATTTATTCAAATATTATTTATAGGTTTAAACGCTATTTATAGCATCAAAAAAATCGTTTTGGAACGCTCATCTAGGTCAGTTTTATGAATAGACTCCTCTAAATTCGTATTTTAAGTTTATTATTTTTTTAAATAATTTAATGTTGTAATTAAATCGATAAACACGTTGTGTTTGTAAAAAAAAGGTGATAAAAGTTTATTTTTGTAGCGTCAAGGTTAATGTTTAACATTTTTTTATACTTTAACGTTTTTAAAGTTTATTCATTAAAATTCTAAAAGAATTTTACTCCTTTCCTGTCATTAATATTAATAGGATTGGGTATTAATAGTTGTTGTCGATAATTTCAAGGAATCTTCAATATCGACTGTTTCATTCATATTTAATATATTGTGTGTTGTATTTCTTAGATTAAGTATTCCTTGATATTTAAAGATATAGATTAAAAGAAAGAAAATTCAATAGAAATTGTCTCTTATTATCTTTATAAGTATATAAAACAATATAAGTATATTGTTTTTATCTCTTAAAATTCACAGATTAGCATCTAAGATGAGAATACGTAGCCTGACACATCTTAGAGGAGACTTGTTTTTCGGTTGGTTTGCTATGGAGTTGGGTTGGTTCACTTTACAGTTAGATTACGTTAGATTGAAGTCGTTTTAGGTTGTAAAGCATACATTATAATGGTTGCCACATCAATACAAACTTGGACATTACTATTTGATTGCCTCAATCGCAAGCGACCTTGACTGAATTTATGACGGCCGAGACTCTGCATTACGTGTTTCAACCTCGCTGGCTGAAAATGTACGATTCCATCTAGTTATAAGCCGAGGTCGCTTGCGGCCGAGGCATTAGTTTGATACCAATTTAATATGGAATTTAAGAATATACAGGGGTGTCCCGTTAAGGGTACGCAGTGGCTGTATCTCGACAACGGTAAAGCCTAGAGGTTTGGGAAAAAAATGCTTATAGGCCATTTCCATTGAGAAACATAAAATTCCCACTATCTCAGAAAGTTAGGCGATGAGCTATAATTTTGACAACATCATTTAATAGCTTAGATAATACCGCATCGCTTTTGTTTTGCGATATTTCTCATATCTGTCATAATAAGGGAGGGGGAGGCCAATGCGTTTTTTTCCCAAACCTATAGGCCTTACCGTTGTCGAGATACAGTCGCTCCGTACCCTTAACGGGACACCTGTATAGGTTGAGAATCACCCTGTATATTGTAGCACCTCGCCGGCAGTCTTTTATGGGTTTATATTACATTATTTATTTTGACTCTAGTATTTGTGATTAAAATTATGCCACGGCTTACAGAAACACCCTGCATAATATCAACTGTAGCGCCTCGGCCGCAAGCGACCTTGACTTGAGTATTACTGAGAGGGTGTGATATTGCGTAACTAATTTGAAGCGCTGAGCGCTGTAATGTGCCATTGTATTCATCTAATGTCAATTCTAGGGCCTCGCCCGCAAGCGACCTCGGCTTATGTAAAAATGACAAGGTGTGATATTGCATAATTCAGTTGAATAACTGTAATATACAGGGTCAGTTATTAGTATCCCGGCGGTCGATAGTTTTGAAAAAAAAATTGTATACAAAAGTTGTTTAACTCATTCCTTTCTATTACGTACAATTACTTTCATTTATACAGCGTGTTCCTTTTAAACGTAACGGAGAGTACGTAAATTTATTTAAATGGAACACCCTGTATGTTTTATCATATTATGAATACAACTAAATTTGTTTATACAACCATATATGTTACTAACTCATAGCGTTCATAATTCCTGAGATATTCAACTGTTCTTCCAAAATGTGCCCATTACAGGATCTTTTTAAAAACGATGTAAAAGCGACATTCTTTCCGATTTTGCCTTGAAACTACGTCAGACAGTAGGTAAATGATAGAACCCAAAGATATTAGATACACTATACAGGCTGTTTATACAGCTTAGTTAATTTTGATGTTTTTCAAATAGCTTTTTCTTAAATTCTTTAAATGGAGCACCCTGTATATTATGTGCTAATTGAATTTCGAATCAAGTTCCCTTTAATTAATGATAAGTATGTCATATGTCTAACTAATAGTTTTCCTGATATTTAGAATTTAAAGAAAAATGTGTAATAAAATGTCATTATTGTACTTAAAAAAGTAACAGAATGTAATATATTCTGTCTTTTTTTTGTTTGTCATTTGTAGATCAGTAATATTATATTAAAATACAATTAAAAAAAACTTTTAATAAATAAATAATCAAAACGTGATAAATATACAATTAAATGGCAGAACAATAAATCCCTTTTTTAATTACTAAATTATTCGAAGGAAATGCAGCAACACACTATAAACAATTACTAAACGTGCTCAACAAGTAGATATTAATTTAATTAATATTTAGAAATTGTTCAAAATGCCGTCCATTTTCGCGCTGCATAAAATATCTTGAGATATCTCTTAATATGTGCATCTTATTTTCTCTAAAGTCGTAAATTATATGGCAGAACAATTGCATATTTTATTACTTACAACTTTTTAAATCTCATAAAGTACCAAGTCGCATTAAAATTTGGTATACAGGGTGTTTCGGTCGATTCATGTAAAAAAAATTAGTAAAAGTCTTCAAATTTCAAAGATACAAGCCATCAAAGTTAAGAAATTTTAACAAATTTTTCCAAATATCTTAAACACTATTTAAAGTAGAACGCTGAAATTTGGTACAGTGTAATTCCTACATTTATTTTTAATAATAGCACTAAAAAAAAAGAAATTTAAGTTTTTGAACATTCCCTTTAGTATTTTTTTATTATTTGTCTTGTTATTTTATTTATTTGTCTTTTTTTTATTATTCCTGTTAGTGTTGTCGCTTGTTTATTTTTTGTTGTTTTTTAATTTATTGTTTTTGGATTCTTTTATTAAAACAAATTAAAAATGTGATTTAGCTAAATCTACACTTGGACATGTTGCATACATAATAATTATGACAGCTCAGTTCGATTTTCACTTGTCATTGCCAATTCAGATTATTTATTTATATATTTTTTTTAGTATTATTGAATTCGGAGCCTAACATTTTTGCATTTAATACGAAAACGGTGGTTTTTATCAATATTCTCTAAGAGTGATAAAAATTTCTAAACTAAATTTACTATTAGAAACTGTAAAAATAAATATAGGGTTATGATAGAATAAAAAAGTTCTGAGCAAACAAACTTTAGGAACAGCCTGTATAACATTGTTCCCGCGTACCGATCTAACTCAAAAATTGAATAATGATTTTACGTAATGTTAGTTTACACTGTACCAAATTTCAACGCTTTACCATAAATAGTGTTTAAGATATTTAGAAAAATGTGTTAAAATTTCCTAACTTTGATAGCCTGCATCTTTGCATTTTGCGGACTTTTACTAATTTTTTTTTTACATGAATCGTCATCATTTTCACTCTAGTATATGTGGTTACATTTGTTCCCTGAGTCACCGAAACACCCTGTATAGCAGCAAAATTATTGTACATTATAAAATATTAATCAAATAATAAAAAGTAATAAATTAATAATATTAAGTACAATAACGCATATTTTATTACATATTATTCTTTAAATTCTAAATATCAGGAAAACTACTAAAGTTAGATATATGACATACTTATCATTAATTAAAGATAACTTGACCGGCAATTCAACCAGTACACAATATACAGGGTGTTCTATTTAAAAAACTTATGAAAAAATCATTTGAAAAACATCAAAAGTAACTAAGCTTTATGAACACGCTGTATAGCGTATCTAATATCTTTGTCTTTGGATACTATCATCAAGGTAAAATTGGAAAAAACGTCGTTTTTGAAAAGATTCGGCAGTGGACACATTTTGGAAAAACAATATTATTGAATATGTCAGGAACTATGAACGCTACGAATTAGTAACATCGTATATGTTAATATACTATATATAATAATTCGTACGAGTTGTATAAACAAATTTAATTCTATTTATACAGGGTGTACAAAAAGTATGGAATAATGGTTGTACGCCTAAACTTAAACTTACATTAAAAAAAGTTTTAAATAAAAGTTACTTGACACTATTTTCCGTATATCGGCGTAGAAATAAAATAAATATGATGACGGCAGTCCGAGTTACGACATGGCGAGTGTGTTTTTTAAATGGAACACCCTGTATATTTTAAGGTATTTGGATTCCTTTTGACAAGGTGTTGCAAAATGCCATAAGGTTTTAATGCTTTAAACTGTATAGTTTTTGAGATATTGAAACTTTTATTTAAAAAGATTTGACGACAATCACATTATGACGTCATTATGGAATAGACAACCTAAGCCTGACGTTACAGGGATGGGCGGAGCTTATACCAACTCTAAGATATGCGGAAAATAGTTTCAAGTAACTTCTATTTAAAACTTTTTTTAATATAAGTTGAAGTTTAGGCTGTAGAACCATTATTCCATACTTTTTGTACACCTGTATATGATAAAATATACAGGTGTTCCATTTAAATAAATTTACGTACTCTCTGTTACGCCTAAATGGAACATCCTGTATAAGTAAAAATAATTTTACGTAATAGAAAATGGTGAGTTAAACAACTTTTATAGAACAAATTTTTTCTCTTTTAAATGGTTTAGCAACTATCGTCCGCCGAGATACTAATAACTCACCCTATATGATATTGTACAGGGTGGGCAAATTTGGGTGTTATTATAGGCTATCTCAGAAACTATAAGAGATACAAAAAAAGTAGGTGCCATGTCCCGGTCTCTTTTTCCGAAACTAATCCAATCCCGTCAAGACCAAATCTCTATCTTCTTTTGTTTTTAAGTTATAGCCAAAAAGTCAAATTTTAGTGATTTCAAAAAATGCTCATATTTCATTTATTTTTGAAATGAGAGAAATGGGGTTAATGCATTCTTAAGACACTTTTTTGAGTAGAATATACTGCCGTTGAAAAATTTTTAACATAGCTGATAATTTTTGAGATATAACATAAAGTTGTATTTTTTTAAATACAAACTATACTTTATTATGATGTTACTGAAAAGAGTATATTTTTAGCTTTCCAATGATGTATTTTTCAATTTTTAAAATATTAAAGATTAAAATTCAAATTTTTAATTATAGTAGGCGACGAAAATGCTAAATACTACTTAGTTACTATAGCAACGTGAGCGCTTACTATTTTTGAATTGAAAATTATCGCTTATTTTCTGCAAATACACCATACATGCGATACATCATTGGAAAGCTAAAAATATGCTCTGTTCTTTAACATCATAATCAAGTATAGTTTGTATTTAAAAAAACACAACTTTGTGTTATATCTCAAAAATCATCAAGTATATTTAAAACTTTTCAACGGCAGTATATTCCACTTAAAAAAGTGTCTTAAGAACGTATCAACCCCATTCCTATATTGTGATAAATAAACGAAATATGAGCATTTTTTGAAATCACGAAAATTTGACTTTTTGGCTATAACTTAAAAACAAAAGAAGATAGAGGTTTGGTGTTTGCGGGATTGGCTTAGTCTCGAAAAAAGAGACCGGGACATGGCACCTACTTTTTTCGTATCTCTTATAGTTTCTGAGATAGCCTATAATAACACCCAAATTTGCCCACCCTGTACGTCAAACTTGACAAATAGGTTATAAAACCGTGTTGTCAAGTTTGACGTACAATTTCATAGCCGACTACAGAATTTTCGCTTATTTTAAGTAAAATTACGGAATAAGTGTCTTTAGTTATTTAAGTTTTTTAAAAAATAATAAGAGTAAAAAAAATTTTAGAATTAAATTCCACATGAAATGAAGTAGTAATTTATTAAATCCGCCAAAAGGTTAAAAAAATCTATCAAAATTTATGGTACCATCACCCTTAATCAACCTTTTGAAATGCCTCAATTGAGTTCAATTTGCTACCAATTAATACCCCTGGTACACTTATAACGTATATCAAATTTGGTTCTTCTAGCTTAATTTATTATGAAGATATTGAACTTTTTAAAAATTTAAGAGCCAACTTTGAAGGACCATAACTCCTCAGGTGTTACAGGTAAGTTACTTTAAATCATCTTAATTTATTGTCCTCTACATGTCCCTGCTCTGTGTCGGTTCTTATGTGAATCACCCTGTATTTATGTAATATCAACTTTAGGGAGTCGGCCTCAAGCAACCTCGGCTTGTACAAAAATGACAAGCATGACATTCATCTAATATCAACTCTAGGGCCTCGCCCGCAAGTGACCTCGGCTTAAGTAATGGTAACGTGATATGATATTGCATAATAAAGTCAAATCGACGTAACATGTGATATTGTATTTATCTAATGTCAACTAATAGGGCCTCGCCCGCAAGCGACCTCGGCTTATGTAAAAATGAGAAGCTGTGATATTACATAATTAAGTCAAATCGTTATAATGTGATATTGTATTCATTTAATATCAACTCTAGGGCCTCGCCCGCAAGCGACCTCGGCTTGAGTAAAGATGACAAGGTGTGATATTGTATAATTAAGTCGAATCGTTAAAATGTGATATTGTATTCAACTCTAGGGCCTCGCCCGCAAGCGATCTCGGCTTGAGTGAAGATGACGTGCTGTCATATTGCGTAATTAACCCCAAAAGCTGTAATATGTATTGCCTCGGCCGCAAGCGACCTCGGTTTGATTAAAGATGACAAGGTGTGACATAGAAGGTCTTATGACGTGTAATATCAATCAAGCAACCTCAGTTTGAGTAAAATTGAGAAGATGTATGAAAAATGTAATAAGTATTGTTTAATATTGTATCTTTGTGATGATATAAAGTGTGATATATGACAACAGAGGCAGTCAAAAACATTTCGGATTCTTGTAACGACGTCTTATTTCATTTCCATGTAATATTCACTCTGTTTAAAGAGAATATTGTATATAAAGACTTGCATTGTTGCTGATATTGAAGAAATTTTTAATCAGTTTAACAACCAGATGATTCATCGGATTTTTTGAGACTTAATAGACTTTTTTGATCCTCTTAAGCATCAAATCCAGACGCTAACTTTATTTTAGGAAAAGTTATGATTCTAAGATTACTTATTTATTAAAGGCTTTTATTAAGTTCCAGATCAAATTCCATTGAATCATAGCAGAAAGTCCAAAGTTCAATTAATTCCCTTTATTACATATTATTTTCTTATTTTTGCATGTTATCAATTTAAAACACAAATATTATTACAAATAATGATAAAACATGAAACCACATCCAAAGAGGCAAATTTGATTGTATAATAAACAATTATTTAAACAAAAAAACTCACCCATAGCCTTCATATAATTATCAAAATTATCACTAGACTCCAATTTATACTTCAACCCCAAAAAACGATTCATTTTCAACTTGAACCAACCGTTCACCACAACGAAAAGATGCAAATAAATCGTTTAAAACCTTTTCGGTGTGTTATCGACAGAAATTCAAAGTCCGAAACCCGATCGAATCGTCTTTTTAATCAACCCGTACTTTGCACCCAAAGCAAACAACGAAAATAAACACCTTCCTATCGTTATTTACTTAAATGAGGTAACATAATCCTCTTTTTAGAAAGCCGTTTCAAATCGGAATTATTAATTTGAGTAATCGAAACAAATTTAGACCAATTTAAACCAATTTAAGAGCAATTTTAATCAATTTATAAGTCGGGTTTTAATCGTCTCAATGAATCCAAACAACCAACATCCTTTTCTTTTATTCCCTTTTTTGTATTTTAATATTTTAACATTTTTTAACTCACCTAACGCCTTCATAAATTCATCGAAATTATCGCTCGAAGCGAGTTTGTATTTTTTATTCAAGTAAGCATCGACCATTTTGACTTTTGAAGCTATAAAATAACATTAATTAATTAAAATAATTAATAAAGAATTGATTTAATGTTGAATTGATAAAAACTAACCTAAAAAAAAAAATTTTTTTTAACCAAATTTTAACCTTTATCCCCCACTAATCAATTAAACAACCTTTTAAACACTCCAATTTACCACTTAAACCCCTTTTATTTACTTAAAAACCGCGATAAATCACTTAATAAAATCAAACTTAACCTCAAAAACCACTTCAACATTAAATCAAAACAACTTAAAATAAAACTATCTAATCGGCGTTTTTTTATAATTGATTTAGGTGATATAACTTACCTTTTTGAAGCGTAACTTGAAAAATCGGGCTTAAAATCACGATAAAACCGCAAAAACACGACTGAAACTTGCGAACCGGCGTTTGACGTTTTTATTTTCGCCGGCAAGATGGCGCGTGCGCGCCGCGACATAACCACAAAGAAAAAACACCGACGGGATCAATACAACGTCTTCAAACGAATTTAATTCGTTCGATTAAAATTAATTTACGCACTTAATTAACGAATTCAATGCGGTTTTGTGAACCGGTTAACCGTTTAATTTGATTTATTAATGTGGGAAGATTTCAAAATGAAAAAATATGTCACAAAAAGAAACGTCAAAAATGTTGCTGATTTGACTTTAATTTGACGTTTAATGATTTTAATTATTATTAAATTAATTAATTAGTTTTAATCGAAAATAAAATTGCATGCTTGAATCACCCTGTATGAAACGCCCAGCATAAATCGATAATTCCGCGCAAATCCCTGCATCACCTCCCCATTTCGTAAAATTTTCCATGATTTTTAAAGATTTTCACCAATTTTAACACGTTTTTTGGTAAGATTAACCATTTGGGGCACATCTGGACCATATTTACTTTATATAAAATATAAACCTCGGTGTCAGCCCCCTCATCTAAACGTTTACGTCATAAATTCCTTATTTATTTTCTTTTAAGGAAACATTTTAGCAAACTGGAGGGAAAATTATTCTCCGCCGTTAATAATTTTTTTAGTTCTTCGCCGATCATGAATCAAATCAAAGATTTAATGGTAAGTTCCGCAACGATTTATGGAAAATCCACCCACAACGCGGTTATGTAAAATAAACCGCAACACCATGTCAAAAAAGTATTTAAAAAGCGAAAAATACTTGCTAAATGACTCATTCGGTTAAAAATGAAGCAAACGCCGTTTACAAAAGGTTTTTTAAAAAGTTACTTTTTGTGTTTGTGCGTTAAAAAATCACAAAAATTAAATTTTGTAAGTAAATTAATCACAAAAATAATTAAATCTTAATTTTTAACTTAAAGACTCGCCAAACCAACCAAGTCGAAGCGGTACAAAGCGGTTCGTATCAAAAAAACAACGATTTAGAATGTTTTCGGAGAGAAAACAACATAGAAAAGGACCAATTTTTATCAATCGGGGCTCGCCAAAACAAACCAAGACACTCGATCGTCTCAAAAAGCCAAATGAAAGGTGATAAAATCAATTTCATTAATTTTTTGATAATTATTTTCGATTTAAAATAGAATTCCGCGAAGCTTTTCGCCTCTTTGATAAAGACGGAGATGGGAGCATCACCAAAGAGGAGTTAGGGCGTGTTATGCGATCTTTGGGGCAATTCGCACGCACCGAGGAGCTTCAACAAATGCTTCAAGAAGTCGATATTGACGGTACTTACCTAAAAAAACAAAAATTTCATCAAAATAATTATAAAAAAAATGAATTGAGTTAATTAACCTGTTTTTAAAGGCGATGGGAACGTGAGTTTCGAAGAATTCGTCGATATCGCATGGTCGGCCGGGGCTGGATCCGATCCCGATCATTGCCAATCCCGCGAAGAGGAAGAAAAGGAGCTTCGAGATGCGTTCCGAGTCTTCGATAAACATAATCGGGGTTATATCACAGCGAGTGATCTTCGTGCTGTTTTGCAATGCTTGGGGGAGGATTTAAACGAAGAAGAAAGTCAGTTGGAACTAAAAAATACAAAAAAAATATTATTAAAAATAATTAATTAAACAATTTTTGTTGTAGTCGAAGATATGATTAAAGAAGTCGATGTAGACGGCGATGGGAGGATCGATTTTTATGGTAATTAAAATCAAAATTAAAAAAAGTGAGGTTATAACCCCAAAAAAAATTTCATTTTAGAGTTTGTAAACGCTTTGGGCGAACCCGGAAATGATGATAGCTTAGACGATGAAGACGAGGAAGTTTTAGGGTTTTAAAACGAGGTAAATAAAGGAATTAGAGCAAAAAAATAAATAAACATAACCTAAAAATAACGAAAATTGAAACAAACCTTATTTAACCCTTATAAACGATGAGGCACAACAAAATTAATTCAAAACCACCTTTAGATCACGTTTTGGGTTAATTTAACTCGATAAAATGAGACATTTTTGAATAAAATCTTAAATTAAATCGAAATAAATCAAAGCTGTCAATTGAATGATTTTCAGGGGTACCACATCACTTTTTTTTTAATTTAATCCAAATATAAATAATTTTAATTAAATAATTAATTAATTTTAGGTTAAATGAGGAGAAATGAACCCAAAATTGAAGCTTATTATTATTACGAATTAATTAATTAATTAACAAATTTTATTATTGATGTGAAAAAAAAACTATTTTAAAGAATTATTAATAATTATCAATGTTAGAGCTTAACACGTATTAAAAAGTGTATAAAAAGTGAAATTTCGTTTTATTTCAATTAGATTTTAAGTAAAAATTAATAAAAATTAAAAATAGATATAACCTAAAAATGAAAAAATTTAAAACGAACCTTATTTAACCCTTTTAAACGATGAGGCACAACAAAATTAATTCAAAAACACCTTTAGATCACGTTTTGGGTTAATTTAACTCGATAAAATGAGACTTTTTTGAATAAAATCTTAAATTAAATCGAAATAAATCAAGCTGTCAATTGAAAGATTTTCAGGGGTACCACAACACTTTTTTTTTAATTTAATCCAAATATAAATAATTTTAACTAAATAATTAATTAATTTTAGGTTAAATGAGGAGAAATGAACCCAAAATTGAAGCTTATTATTACGAATTAATTAATTAATTAACAAATTTTATTATTGATGTCAAAAAAAAAACTATTTTAAACATTAATTATTAATAATTATCGATGTTAGAGCTTAATATGTATTAAAAAGTCTATAAAAAGTGAAATTTCGTTTTATTTCAATTAGATTTTAAGCAAAAAAGAATAAAAATTAACTCACTCAGTGTTACCAACACATTTTTGATTTACTAAAAGCGATTTTGGCGCTAAATTTGAATTATAACAAACAAAAATTAATTTTTAAAATACCTTTAGAGCACGTATTGGGTTAATTTACTTGATAAAATGAGTTATTTTTGAATAAAATCTTAAATTAAACCGAAATAAATCAAAGCTGTCAATTGAATTATTTTCGGGGGTACCACAACACTTTTTTTTTTAATTTAATCCAAATATAAATAATTTTAATTAAATAATTAATATACCAATAGAAATAAAACGGCGGATAATAACGAATAAAATTAATTTGACGTTTACAAAGTGAGGTTAGGTTTTATCTTTGTGCATAATCACGTGGGAAATTAAAAATCCTTTAATTTGAGTCCAAACACGCCCCAATTATCTTAAAAAACACCCGAGATATACCACATTTAATTTTGACATAACCTCAAAAAAGTGACAACCGGAAGTTAGTGGTATTTGTTGTTTTTTAAGATAACTCGACCGAGTTTGAGCTCATTTTAAAGGGAATTTAATGTAGATTACGAATACGATGTTAGATTAATCAAATTCGATAGTAATAAAAACAAAATGGAGGATGATTTAAGAAAAATGATTCGATTTTAACGAAATTACATTCGCGGGGTACTTTTCGATATAAAAATAAAGATTTTCCTTGTTATTAAATTAAAATTATTAATAAAAACGGCGGAAAATATCAAATAATATTGATTTGACGTTTATAAAGTGAGGTTAGATTTTTTATTTATTCACGATCGCGTGGGGAATTAAAAATGCATCAAATTGAGTCCAAACACGACTCGATTATCTCATAAAACACGCGAGATATTCAAAAATTTAATTTTAACATAACCTCAAAAAAGTGACAACCGTAAGTTTGTTGTTTTTTAAGATAACCCCATCGAGTTTGGGCTCATTTTAAAGAGAATTTAATGTAGATCACCAATACGATGTTGGATTAATCAAATTCGATAATAGTAAAAACAAAATGGCGGATTATTTAATAAAAATGATTCGATTTTAACGAAATTACATTCGCGGGGTACTTTTCGATATAAAAATAAAGATTTTCCTTGTTATTAAATTAAAATTATTAATAAAAATAGCGGAAAATATCAAATAATATTGATTTGACGTTTATAAAGTGAGGTTGGATTTTTTATTTATTCACCATCGCGTGGGGAATTAAAAATGCTTCAAATTGAGTCCAAACTCGACTCGATTATCTCATAAAACACGCGAGATATTCAAAAATTTAATTGTAACATAACCTCAAAAAAGTGACAACCGTAAGTTTGTTGTTTTTTAAGATAACCCCATCGAGTTTGGGCTCATTTTAAAGAGAATTTAATGTAGATCGCGAATACGATGTTGGATTAATCAAATTCGATAATAATAAAAACAAAATGGCGGATTATTTAATAAAAATGATTCGATTTTAACGAAATTACATTCGCGGGGTACTTTTAGATATAAAAATAAAGATTTTCCTTGTTATTAAATTAAAATTATTAATAAAAATAGCGGAAAATATCAAATAATATTGATTTGACGTTTATAAAGTGAGGTTGGATTTTTTATTTATTCACCATCGCGTGGGGAATTAAAAATGCTTCAAATTGAGTCCAAACTCGACTCGATTATCTCATAAAACACGCGAGATATTCAAAAATTTAATTTTAACATAACCTCAAAAAAGTGACAACCGGAAGTTTGTTGTCTTTTAAGATAACCCCATCGAGTTTGGGCTCGTTTTAAAGAGAATTTAATGTAGATCGCGAATACGATGTTGGATTAATCAAATTCGATAATAATAAAAACAAAATGGCGGATTATTTAATAAAAATGATTCGATCTTAACGAAATAAGTTTTTTAGAAGTTTAATTAAGCTTTTAGATCTAAAAATAAAGTTTTATTTCAATTAGATTTTAGGTAAAAATTAACGCACTCAGTGTTACCAATACATTTTTGATTTATTTAAAGTAATTGTGGCGGGAAATTTAAATTATAACAAAAAAAAATTAATTTTTAAATCGATTACGCCCACAATTTAATGTAATAAATCGTTATCTTTTATTGCTTTATTAACAATTGAATACAATTGATAACATTTAAACAAAAAATAATAAATTAAATAATTAAAAAATTATTAATGACTCGTTAACAAAGACGAAAAAGAACCAGAAGTCATTTCTCCGTGGAAAAACAACATGGAGAAATCGAAATTTTTAATAATATTTTTAATTTTTTTAGTGGGCCTTAATCCAGATTTAACAAATGCGGGCAATCGGATTGCGATGTTCGATGATGGCGATGATATGGGGATAAAAATGGATGGAATTGATATGTTTTCGGGGCCTACATCGCAACAAAACGACGAATATGTGGGTAACGATAACAGTTATCTACCTTACCAACAAAATCAAGACCCAATCAGCAATAATTTCGCCTTAAACGATCAATACCCCTACATACAACCCCCTGCGAATATTTACGAGTCTCCGGGATCCCCCGATTACGACTCCAACCAAATGAGCTTCCAAATCAACGACAACCAAAACGAAATTCAACCCGATCCCAACTTCGATCTTTACCAAAACCCTCAAGATGTCGCCACCGTCAACGATGAGTCATCCGCGGAAGAAATTAATTCGAATTTCCCGCCGATTTCTTGCCCGACCGTTTTTAAATACAATTACGACCCGAAATACGGAGGGTATTATGGGTTCGTGCAAATTCCCCGTCCAAGCGGCGATATTAAATACGACGCCGAAATCAACATGACGATTAACCGGCCGGTTTCGCAACAAGACAACATTAAATTGCAATTAATGTCGACGGCGAACGAAATTTATTACGGACAAACGTTAGAGTGGGCCGTCAAATTTCCGTATCAAGATTTATTGCCAAAATTAACCCAAATTAAATTCAACGGAATGGTGATTTGCTCGAATTATCCCGATCCATGTAAGAAATTTAATGAATTTTATTAAAATTCGTAATCAACATTAAAAAACGATCAAAATGAGTCCAAACACGCCCTATTTATCTTCAAAAACAACCGAGATACGATTATTTTAAAAATAGCGATCGTCGATTGTTTTTTTTGAAATTTGTGTTATCTCGGTTGCTTTTAAAGATAAATATGGAGTGTTTGGGCTCGTTTTAACCGGAATTTAACGGAGATTAAGAATTAATTAAAAAAATCGATTTGAAGTGATCCCGGGGATTTTTATATATATTATTATTATAATTTTTGTTAAAATTCGTAATCTACTTAAAAAAACGATTAAAATGAGCCCAAACACGCCATATGTATCTTTAAAAGCAACCGAGATACGATTATTTTAAAAATAGCGATCGTCGATTGTTTTTTTTGGAAATTTTGGGTTATCTCGGTTGTTTTTAAAGATAAATATGGAGTGTTTGGGTTCGTTTTAAAAGGAATTTAATAGAGGTTTCAAATTAATTAAAAAAAACGGTTTGAAGTAATCCCGGGGATTTTTATAAATATTATTATCATAGTGTTTGTTAAAATTCATAATCTACATTAAAAAACGATCAAAATGAGTCCAAACACGCCATATTTATCTTCAAAAACAACCGAGATACGATTATTTTAAAAATAGCGATCGTCGATTGTTTTTTTTGGAAATTTTGGGTTATCTCGGTTGTTTTTAAAGATAAATATGGAGTGTTTGGGCTCGTTTTAACCGGAATTTAACGGAGATTTCAAATTAATTAAAAAAATCGATTTGAAGCGATCCCGGGGATTTTTATATATATTATTATTATAATTTTTGTTAAAATTCGTAATCTACATAAAAAATCGATCAAAACGAGCCCAAACACGCCATATGTATCTTCAAAAACAACCGAGATACGATTATTTTACCACAAACGATCGTCAATTGTTTTTTGGGATATTTTTCGGTTATCTCGGTCGTTTTTAAAGATAAATATGGCATGTTTGGGTTCGTTTTAACCGGAATTCAACGAAGATTTCAAATTAATTAAAAAAAATCGATTTGAAGTGATCCCGGGGGTTACCCAATCATCAATGTGGGCGAAATCGTCGATTTCGTCCGGAAAAAAAGATACCGAACCCGAATCGCCGCAAACGGACTTGAGGAAAAAGCGCAGAAAGAAATCTAAGAAGCGCAGGAAGAATCGCAAGAATCAAAAAGGACGTAAGTGTCGATTTTGCGGGTGTAATAACGTTTTGGTGTATTTTTTTTTTGTAAAATAGGAAGAAAAGTACCTTATGGCGTCCCAGCACCGGTTTACACGGCGAGTTTGAATCCGTACGCGGGGTTGGAACATCCCGACGAATCCATCGGGTTTAACGAGATGCCCGGGGGTCCGATTCAACCGACTCGATCAGGAAGTCCTTATTTACCAT